AAAAAATAACAGAAAGTTAGAAATTATGTGAAGTATGTGAAAAAAATTTCAAACTTTATTATCTCATAAATATATATATATATATATATATATATATATATATATATATATATATATTAAATATATAATTTAGTGACTTTATATATATATTACAAATCTTACATATGGTCACTACATAAAAATATTATTAAATTCATATTTTATATATATGTGTAAAATGTTACTTATTCAGTTAATGTCGTTGTCACTTTCCAATTAATAATATTCTTATTTTGATATAAAGATAAGTAAAAAAAACATTACAAATATTTGGACCAAATTAAAAATATACCATACATATAATTACCAAATAAAAAATGTGTATAGAATAATTTAGGAAGAGATCAAGTTGGTAATATTTTACATTTATAGAGGTTGATTTGACAATTTTTTACGTGTAAGGACTAACTTTAGAATTTGAGATGCACACATAGAGACTATGAGATGTTTAACCTTTTTTTATTTTTTGAATTTAGTGTCTTAATATATGACATCTTATAACGTTTGAAAGTTTTGGCCGTTTAGATTAATACAAGATTAGGTTAACTTGGCACGAAGCTTCGTAGACAAAACGCATCTCGAAAGACGAACGAAAATTTTGTTGTGGAGTTTGATTAATGCTTTAGGGTTTTGTCACGACGCCAAGTGTTGATGGTGATATATCACAATTTTAAGTTGTTGTTGTTGGCATCATCAACTTCTATTTCTTAGTTATATAGTGATTACAAAATATGGTGCTTTCATTCTTGTAAAGTGAAGTAGCAAAGAGTTGGATGGGGGAAGAAAAGTGAACAATTAATTGAGACCCAATGAAAGTGCATGTGGCCCACCATGGTTTTCTTGGAAGGTTCATGGCAACCCCAACACAAAGAAAGCCACACCCACTTCATAAAAGGAAACATCAACATGGCATCACGAAACCATTACATCGTTTGCTACGAAGGAAATATCAAAGGATTCATTCATGTCTTGTTCAAGTAATAATGCTTCTCAATAGTTAACACCCATTTGGGAACAAAGAAAACATCATATATTTTATCATGCATGCAACGAAAACGAATGTTCCGCGTTTGTGCAACGTGTGCATGGGGAAAGTCCTTTCTTTTCTTTTTTTTTCTTGTGTTTATTTCATATTTGAGAAACTTCTGTTCTAATCAACAATTTTCAAAATATTATAGGTTTACGTAAAAGTTAGATATACTTTCCTTCATACTTGTGGAATAATTTCGATAATGGATAATCACATATTCCCATCAACAATAATTATAATATTGCAAGTAAAATATTATTTTTTTAACAAAGCAATTTTTAGTTATTATTAAAAACGTTAACTTGAACCATAAATCTTTATAATTAATATAGCCTCTAATTATTATTATATTTTTTGTTGACTCACGATAAATTATTAACCTAAGAAAAAAAACTAGGAAGGAACCACGTGGTGGAACGTGTTGGGGTTAGGTATGTAATTATTTAATTGTTTTGAAGTATGCTAGTTATTTTTATATTAATTATTTACCTTTAGGGGAGAATCATAATTAATGTTAGATTTCATTATACTATTATAGAGTGGCAGATTAGTTGGAAAGGGGCTATATATTAATTATAAAGATCATTGGTTCAGGTCTCTCCAAGAATGTTTATAAAAACTACTAAGTGTTGGACTATTCATTCATGCAATTATTTTTTTTTTTATTTCTCAATTGAATAATTTATTATTATTTTCTCTCTCTTTTAGTCATATGATATATTGTTGTATAAATAATACTTCTCAGTAGTTCAAGGGTGAGTTTTGTTAATCTTAACTAAATTTTTGTACAAAAATTATACCAGTGTTTATTTATCATGGTTAATAGAAAATTAGTTAACAATTTGAGATTCAGAAAGTTATTACTTAAAATAAATTAAGTAAACTATTTACTACTTTAAATTATTTATATGATATTTTTTTTCGTTTTTAGCCATTAATTTTACTAAATAATGTAATTATACTTTTTAATCTTAAAAAAATCATTATTTAACTCACAATTTAAAAAGAAAAAAACTGTTTAACTAAATATTTTTATTAAATTATAGATTTAAAAAAAGCATGGGACTAAAACAAAAAGAAGTACACTTTCAAGAAAAAGAACATGTTTAGACTTATTATTAAAAGTAGTTAAACTTTGAATTAAAAGAAGAAATTACGGATGCCACGTGTTATTTATTTTAAAATTAATGAGTTACATTAATAAGAATATATCACACGTTATTCTTTAATATAAAATTCAATAACTCAACAATAATATAGATGATGAATGAATTAAGATAAATATGATAAAATAGGTTAATATTTTTAGTCTATCGTAGTTTTAAAAAATAAGAATGTTGAAGATATAAAGAAATAAAATTTATTATTTAATATCTTAAAATTGTATGTTGAAGATAATATTATATGAATTGAGTTGGTGTTATCTCTTTTTAATAAATCTCTCACAAAAATCCAACATCAATCTGTTTTTATGATAATAAATCAGGATAAATAATTAAAAAGGGAATAAAATTATAACAAAACAATTGAGAGTAAGATTGAAACTTATCGAAGTTATCACAAGTTAATTAGCTCTCGTGTTGTTATTTTGTTTTTACCTGATATTAATAATATTTTGCTTCTAAAAGAATTATTCATTCATATTTCAGTTATGATGACATTTCTAGAAATATCACATCACAAACTCTATTTTATGTTAAATACAAATGTAGATCAATATCATGTAAAGAAAAAAATGCGAATAAGACTTGGATTGAAGTACAAATTTCAAAATATTATATCCACCTAATGCATTAGATTTGATGTGTCAACAACATACACTGGTCATAGTTTCATTTCATAAGTTAAAAAAAAAAAAAAAAAAAAAAAAAAAAAACAAAACCCTTTGAACTAAGTAAAGAAAGAAACGTGGTCAACTACTGTACGAGCAATTAAATTATGATTTTTATAGTTGATTGGATATATTCCAAATTTGTTGAAATATTACGGTGGTCCTTTGATTTATTTCTAAAATCTCTTTCAATCCATAAATATATTTTTTTTAAAATCATAACAAAATCACTAAGCACATAAATACACAGTATTATATAGTATTATCATAAGTTTTACGAGTCGATGTAAATTTATAAATACTCATCTTTTTAATCGAAATTTTTTTAAGAATAAAATTATGATAAATTAAAATTTTAAAACAAATAATATCTTATATGTTATAATTGTTATACTATTTCCGCTTTTAATTGAAACATTGACACATGACTAAAAAAAAAAGAATAAAGCGATATTATATTAGTAATAACAATATGATATTAGAAAAAAAAATCTAAATCGATTTTATCTCTTAATCTTAATAAAAATATTTGTTTTGATATATATAAGTTTTAGAAAGAAAGAATTTTTAGGAAAAATTGGAAAAAGTAGACATGTGTGGGAAGAAGAAAACAAAAGTGGAGACTCTAGAAAAGTTTTGGGCAAACAAGATGGAAGTGAAATTATGTGAATGACAAGGCTAATTAAGCTAAGATTGGTGAGGGGGTGATTAAATTGGTGGGTAGATAGATAGATGGATGGATAGGAGTATTATTAGTATTATTATTTTTTTACCCTAAGTGAAGAGTGAAGAGTGAAGAGTGAAGAGTGAAGAAGAAAGGATAATTTGTTGGCAATAATTGAGACAAAAGCTGTCGAGGTGCTCACACACATTACCTAATATGAAGAGAATACTAAAACTGAAAGAAATGGTGTGTGAAAAAGGGTTGAAAATGGGTTGAAGGGCCCTATTAATGATAATTTGATGTAAGTGAGAGCTTGATATAGCCATGGCTACTTGTCCCTTCCCATTCTCATTGTTTGCTTCCACTATCCCAGCCATCTTCTGACCAAACACACCCTCTAATCACATAATCATTACCATAGATCAGAAATCTGAAGTCTGTGTTATGTTCTTAACTGGAGATGGTGAAGGAGGATGGGTGTGAAAAGAAAGATTAGGATTTTAGGTAGACCCAACCAAGTAGGTACTTAAGAAGGAATAGCCACACATGTATACATGATGACATTGTTTGAGAGAGAAAGAAAAAAAGGGCATCTGCAGGTTGATATTGGAAACAATTAACTGGGTGGTTCAGTACAGCTTCATAGCTTCCATAGAGGAGACAGCTTGACGGCTAGGGATTCCAATAAATGTTCCTACCTACAAATTCACTCCAACCCTATTTTACTACCACTTATCTTTTCCTATATAATCAAATTACTATATACTTTTTTTCATTTTCTACCCTCCTTCATATTCAATATTATTATTATTATTATTATTATTATATTAATTCACATCATCCCTTCATTTTTCAGGAAAAATTCCAGGGCCAGACAAAAGGAAAATAATTCAGTACTCCAAAATGAATGTGTGTATAGGCCTGAACACCCGTGTTCAGCTGCCACATTTTCCTCAGAAACCAAACAGGTCCTATTTCCGGGAAAATCCAAATAGAGGGGTCCAATTTTCCCTTCTACGGTTTACCATAACTAAATTTTACAGCAGTGAAAATAAAGCTGAACACATCATCAAAATGGAGGGGCCATTCCTCACAATTCCATTTGCTGCTTACTATATAACAATTATTCAAATTCAATATCATAACACCAAAACACATACACAAAACTAACATTAAGAGCCTGATTAACATAGATGCTTTAAATCACAATTCGTACAAATTAATAACGCAAGATTAATACAAAGTTTCAAGCTAAAATTGGGAGTTACAAGTGGAAGAAGTAGTACTAGTTCACTATAATTATATATATATATATATATTACTATTATCATTATTATTATTATTATTATTATATCATCATTATTGTTGTTGACGCTTCTTCGTTAATTCCTTGCAAATGTTGATTAGCCATGCAAATTAAACTGCTTCGACATGCACTACCCGCTAGAGAAAAACAGTGAGCTTGAATTTGTAGAAGGGTTTGTGCTTTGATACGGCCTCTGCCGGAAATAGTCCGGCGGCGACACTGCTACCGTCACCGACGACAACTGAGCTCCGGAGTCAGGTGGAGATCCTTCAAAAACAAATTCACAATTGTTGCAGAAATAAAAAGAAAATAGAAAAAGCGAAAACCTTCATTCTCCTCATAAATAATAATCATGCATGTTCATGACAAAGGAAGTCCTACCTAGCTTGCCCAACAAAAAGTTCAAGGTTAAGAGATTAGAAACATGGTTTGTGCAAATTTTAAGATGGATTGATTTTTTTATTCTTTGGTGACAAGATAATTTGGATCTTGATTAGGGGTGAGTTATTGAAAGACCCATTGTAAAAAAAGAAGAAGAAAGAGTGGTACTTGAATATAGTGAAAGTAAGCGGAAGAAGAAGAAGAGAAGAAGAAGGAGAAAGGTTGTACTTGCAACGTTATCCAAAGAGGGTTGAGATTTCTGAATTTCTTGAGTTGGTTGCTGAGTTTTTCTTCTGCGGCGATTGTGATCTGCCAATCTCTTCCTGCAGCTACGTTTTCCGTTATCGAACTCAGAAAGAAGATGGAACCTGCACGTCAAAATCAAACAATAATTAATTAATTAAGTAGCGAAACACGTACCCCAAAAAACTAAAAGAAAGAAAAAAGAAAACAGAGAGAATAATATATAGTGTTTATTATCTAGATGCAATGCACAATGCAGCGGTTTTTAATGGTACTAACTAAAAGGAGCAAAACGATGCAGTACGTAGGTTGCAAAACTGAAAGTAGAGTAAGAGCAAACAAGAAACATGTTAGGGACGCAAATGCCCTCGGGATTTCCCCACGTACGGCAAACTCAATCATTATCAACACTCTCCCAAGGGCAATTTCGTCAAAGAACATTCAATTCAACACATTTCTAACAAATTAATGCAAAATAAGACCCTCAAGAATTACACAATAAATTCTAGTTTTCTTAACGTTGAGTTCTGCACTTAATGCATGTTGCCCTTAGTAACTAGGCAAAAAATTTAAACGAAATCGAAGGATGTTTTGGTCATTTCAAGAGTTTCTCAATTAAATGAACATTTAATTTGAACTAAGTTTAACCCGTTGGTTGGTTCAGTGTTGTTGTGTTTTCTGTGTTTCAAAGTGAAATAAAATCGATACGCAAGAAGCAGTGAAAAGACGAAAATGCCCCTTGGGGGTTGAACTCAATGATTGGTGTTAATTTTTTCCGACGGTGGGACGAAACAAGCGCCACCACGACACAACCTGCTGCATTGCTGGCAGAACCGCTGAGTCAACCCGGCTGCGATGACGGTGGCGGCTTTGGAGTGGAACTCGCACACCTTGTGGCGGCGGTGGTAGTGCTTCGCCTGAGACAGATCAGCATTGCATCCCTCCGCCTGACACCGCGGCGAGTTGGACGAAGCCGTCGAACCCGGTTCGGCTGGGCGAGACCGACGGTAGAGTCGGCTCACGAAGTCATCTTCGGAGGAGGAGAAGTAAGTTCGTCCTCCGAGGTTGAGGCCAATTCGTGAGCCGACATCCATGGGCCGGCCGACGTCCTCAGACTTGGGGACAAGGAGGAGTCCGCCCGGGCCTGGTCCGAGCCCAGGCCCGCAGTTGGCCGCGTTGACGTGGGGCAGCGGGTCAAGGGAGAGCATGGAAGGGGGTGGGGGGTAGGAGGTGGACGACGCGCCGTGGAAGGCGCGTGGGTCGAAGAAGGGGTGGTGGTGGTGGTTCATGTGGTGTGGTTGCGGGTTGAAGTGGTGGTGGTGGTGGTGGGTGAAGTCGACGGTGGCGGCCGCTGCGGTGGTAGCGGCGGAGTGTGTTGGCGCGTGAAGAAAGTGGTCGGGGAGGAGCGAGTGGGAGGCGTAGTGGTCGAAGATTTGACGGTGGGCTTGGTCGGAAGCTCCGGTGGCGGTCTCCTCGTTTCCGGTTAGCATTATGGAAGACGGGTTTCCCCATTCGTAGTCCAACATGTCTGAAGCACTGAAAACACACAAAAAAAAGGAGTTATTATAGAATAAGTTTGTAAGAACAATAAGAAAGGGAAATTCGAGAAAAATAAGGAAAAAAAAACATGGGTTTTGTTTTTTTTAAGGAAGGGTTTATGAAGAAGTGTTTGTTTTTGTGTTGTGTTGTGTTTTGTGGTGTGTTACCTGTGGGTGTTTGGAGAGTGAGGTGAAAGAGTGAGATATGATTGCAAAGAATAAAAGCCCTAATTTGGAGAGGCTGTGTTGTTAGCTTTGGAAGTTCATTTCCTTCTTTCTATCTCACCACAATGGCGTGCACATTAAGTCTTTTTTTCTTGCGTTGTTGTTGTTGTTGTGTTTTTTTTTCCCTCACTCTCTCTCTCTCTCCCTCTCTCCCTTTGTGGTTTAAGACTTTGCCTCTTGCTAAATGGATGTGCGCTTAAAAGATCTCACTTTCACCCTCAAAAAGCTGAACCCTTTTGTCCCCTTCCCCATCTCTCTCTCTCTCTCTTTCTCCCAATGCCAAGAAAAGTTACTCCTCTTGCTCCTTAATTCCCTCTCTCCATTGGTGTGGTGAATCAAGTGTGGGTGTGTGAGGGAACTCAGTTTTATGAGGCGGCTTCTGCAGACAGTGGGTAATTGGTGGGTGATCTGTACTCGGATATATGTTACAACTTCAATGTAAAAATTACCATTACAATCCAATCAATTTCCATCTTTTCACTTTTTTTTTTCAAACCTATGCTCAAAACTTTACTTCAATATCACCCCTATTTTTATTTTTATTTTTTTTATATTCCTCCAAATTAACTTTCAATTTTATTCTTTTGTATCAAGATTATATAGTAAAGTTTTCTTTTTTAATTGAAAATGAAAAAGAAAATCAAATTTACACTGGTTTTTAAAATCGTAAAAAATCAAGAACCCTGTATATCCACACAAAATTGTGTATTCTAGGAAAAGTCATGGGATTTGAAATTAGAATATTCAGCAGTGTTTTAAGATTTATTTATAGATATAAAAACGGTTAATTTCAACATTTCTTTATCTAGTGTATCTTAGACATCAAAATTTTCAGTAGTAGATATTATATGTTCTAGTCAAATAATGTGAATATATATGCACATGAGTCAAAATGTTATACGTAGTATGCAAGTTATTTAAAAAAATGAGTTTGTAACTAAACATTAAGTCTATTATCTCAAAGTAATAGATGAAGGAAGAGTTGACCTTACACAACTCCAAATTCAAAATCATCGAAATTTGATTTATTTTATTTGAATGAATTAGTTAATTTAGAAAGGGAAAATGTAAGAAATTGAGGAGGAAGCATAATTTGCGTTGAATGGAATGAACATGCAAACGTACGGACACATGGAAAGTGAAGATATTTTTGTGGAGAGATGCAATTACCCTGCTTTTGTATTGTTCCAAATAAGTTAGAGGAAGAAGCAGCATCGCTGATGGGTTGCAGCAGTAATTAATCAGCAACGTCAGAAGTAGACAAACTAATAAAACAAAACCCCATTAACCCATTTTTGAATTTAACTGAAACTGTAAAACCAGTTTGAATTAATAATCTTTTTGTGACATCTAATAATTTGTTGGTGAGATAGGTTAATAATCCGAAGAGGGTGGCATTTAATTTTCGGACCCACGATCTGATTTGAGTTTGGTCCGTTTGATGAGTGGTGGCCTGGTGATGATTAATTCATTCATATATGGCTGGGTGGATTTTGTGTTTGCTTAATTGAATTTTCGCTTTCTTGCTTTTGCAAACGCACTTTATTTCGTTTTTGAACATTTGAAAGGGACTCTTTAGAACAAGTGCAACTGCATCTGTTTCATTATTTCAGTGTAAATACCACCATTTTTTTACACTCAATCTTTCAACCCATGTGATTCTTCTCCTTAACAAAATCAATTTGTTCCCAACCATCATTTTTCAAATCCAACCCACTGAAACTTTTAATTAAGCCTTGTAGTTATGTTAAGTTCTAATTAAGAAAAATTTACAGGTCATGATTGTGCTTAGTTGAGGTCTGAATTTGGCACCATTAATTCCACCCAAGAGGACCAAAAAACAAAAAAAGGAAAAGTTGTCAGTGCATAAATCAGATCTTACTTGACTTCTTAAATATCAACAGCTTTATATATACACTATACTGCAAAACATAAAGCCTTTCTCTTCTTTATCTTACAATCTTACTGCAACAACTGAGATGTATTTTCAAAATCACCATTAAAACAACCCACTAGTTTGCAAAATGAGTAAACCCCTTTCAAACCAAACTTTTAATTGCCCCTTTTAACATAACAGAAAACAAATAGAATTTGATACCAGAACAAGAATGAATTTTCCCCTTGCTTTTTCAAATTCAAATATGCTCTAATGTGCCTCAAGTTTTCAACGTCTATGAACTTTCTCTTCCTGACTAATCCAATAAAATTACAGAAAAACTTCTATATCGTAAGTTCTGAAGAATCTCAACTCTTTCAACAGTGATAATTTTTAATCTACCCTCTTATATTTTAACTCCAAATTGAAATATATTTTATGATTATGATTTAAATTGAAACATTATGTAACTAAAGCTGTAGTTAATTATTTGTATATGCAGTGCACAGATTCCAATGAGAAAAGGCATTGGAGGACACACATGTGTTTGGCCTTGGTTGACTTGGGCTTTACCTTGGAGGGTTGAGTTTCTACTATACTGATCTATGCAGCATGCAGTAATTCTGTGTGCACTTGATTTTGTACAAAAACAAAGGCATATCTTCAGTACTAGTCAGTTTGACACAATGCAAGGTCATGCAGCATTGCAGCAGCATATGATGAAGCTATATCTATCTATCTATCTATAACTCCACCCAGCAACAAACAGAATGGTATCATGTCAATATTGGAATTAATAGTACTTGTATAGACAAAACATGCATGCACCAAAATATATTATTCTCTCTCACTCACTGCACTCACTCACCATGCAACCTAGTTACCAAGCTTTCATTTCATCTGTACTATTCTACTCATTACTGTTTTTCAGGCCATTTTTATGCCTCAACATAAAGGAAATCAAGTGACCAACATATATAGCAAGTTGGTATATATGTGAGATAACCTTCCTTCTTAAATATTACTAGTCATAGATTTCAGTATCTTGATCAGGTGTATGAAAAAATACATATGTTGAAAGAGATTAACCCTATCAAATGAGTCGGAATGGAAAAACATGTCATGAGAAGGATATCAACCCTTAAGTAGCTCTCAGTATCTTAAAAGATTATTGTTAACTTTGGATTGATTAATGCTAAAAAGATGTGTGTGTTTGTGAGATAGGGAGAGAAAAGAAGTTGAGAGTGTGGAAGAATATATAATAGGCATTAAATGGAGGAGGGGTTGTGAACATGGTTTTATATTTTGTGGTGATGATGCTTCCACATTAAGGAGGAAAGAGTGTCAATTCGGGACTCTGAAAGAGTCAAATGTTGGGACCTTCTATGGCCCAAAAACCACCCATGCGAACCAAATTCTGCTGGAATTTCTGAAATTATCACGTGGGCTACCTCTTTACATGACACCGTGAGAGTTGGTGCAAATTCTTTTTACCATTCAATGCATTTCTTCTTTTCTTTATAAATCTTAGTAACTTAGCATGTATTAGTTCTATTACAAAACTCGTGAATACGTATTTTAATACTACTTAAATATTCCCTTAAAAAAAAAAAAAGACAACTTAAATATATTATTTAGTACCAAAAGGGACACTTATAGTATGTGTTCAAGGTTCAAATAATTAAGATTGAATTGGTTTAATTTGGTTCTCATAACACTACTTCTATACATACTTCTATAGCTTGTTGATATAATTAAAAATAATTAAAAATTATACGTTGATATATAATTTTTATTTGATAGAAATTAAAGTTTGATAAGCTTGTTTTACGCACAAGCTTATTCATTTAAGTTTCTAAACTATTTTTATAAATGAATTCAATTATCTTATAAAAATAAACTAGCTTATAAACTACAGGTTTTGTTGGTTTTATTTTTCATTTTCATATCTTTATCATTTATTTGAAATCTCTTTAAACTTCTTTTTAATTTAGATATTAAATTATTAAATATATTCTTTTATGTCATCTTTACTCTTATTATTAGCATAACTAATCATTTTGTACACTTGTAACTTTTTATGCTCAAGCTTCTAAGTTTACACTTAATTTAAAATAAATTAGTTTTATCAAAACAATTGTGCATAATCCACAGTAACAAAATGGTATTTCTTAGCAATCAATTTTTTTATATGAATAAATATATATGCCACAACATTTATATAAATTTACTATGCTTCTATGAATAGTTTGATTTTTTTAACATATACTTTATACATAATGATTAACATGTTTTCGCTTAACTAATACAAGGTATTTCTTTATAGATAGTGGTAACTTTCTCTTAAAGCAAGGATGAAGAAAAGATAGACATTATGTTATGGAATGTGAGAGGGTAAAACCGAATAAATTTTCATCTTAATTATTAGGTTATAAGAGAACTACACAAGTCTTCGTTAATTAATGCGTAATCATAGATAAATTTGACATTAATTATAGTCAAACTTTAAGCTGTTAAATATGCTGTTTCATTGTATATATGTTCATCTAATTATTCAACAGAAGACTTTTATAATCCATGCATTATTTATTGAAAAACACATTTTTAATTTGAATAAAGAAAGAAGTGTTGCGTTTAAGAAATTACACATATATAAATAAATATTTCAATAATGAATGCAGTACAGCAATTTTACTAACCCTATGATTGCAAGTTCTTTAATTCTGCTAAAATAAATATGATAAAAGTAGGACAAAAATCCCTATAGCTTGCCCATTTGGTTAATTATATATCAATGTCTTGGATCCGTAATCCGCAATTTGTAAATTATTGCATGCAACCATATATTATTCTCTTGTCCTTTGGAGCACACATGTTGTAACAAGCTATAACATGACATAGGGAAAGCCTCACCCAAATAAGTACCATTCCAAAGCATTATAAGTCACCTAATTGAAGAAACCAAAATGCCAAAATCAAATGAGACGAGAGCAAAGAACAAGAGATAAAAGAAAAGGAAAAGGTCAAGGAAGTAGGGTTCCCTAGCCCTTGTTTCACAGTTTCCCTTGCAATTATCTCACGTCAATGTTAATTACTAATTTTCCATGATGAAGTTGCAAAACACTGCCCTAGTACCAGCAATTACATGTCTTTTTGGAAACCTATGTAGTATAATTCAGAAAATTACGTTCAAGTTAATATACGATGCAAGAGTGTGTTAGAAACTCATTTTGGTTCCTGTGAAAGCACGTAAAAGTTGCGTAAAGATGAAAAGAAACGCAGCAATGTTGTTTGTTTGAATTTAATCCAAGTGCTTGCATGTTTGGATTGTTGAGGTTGGAAAGAGCAACAGAAGTGATCAGAGTGGGATGTTGTTGTTAAGGGGGGGATTTGAAGGTGAAAATGGTTGGGGCAAAGTTAATGGAAGTAGTGATAGGGTTATGTGTGGAAAGAAGTTATATAAGGAAGCTTCCGTGGGGCGAATCAGAATGATGGTAGGAAAATGTTTGAACAGAATGAGAAGAAGGAAAATGATGGGTAAGAAAATGGGAGGAAGAGGTACTGGTGCAGTCCTGGCATTGGAGATGGTAATTGACAGCATTATGGTAAGAAAGTAACAGCTTCACAAAAGCCTGGTAATCAATGATCATATTCATGTTAGGGAAATAAAGTATGTGCCTCACCTCAAACTCTTTTTCCATATTCACTTAGCCTTCACACCTACCTACCCTTCTAAATCCACTCTTCTTTCTTTCTTCACTTTTCCCATCTCACAATTTCAAATTCTAAAAGTTAAGTCTACCATTCACCCTAACCCTCATCTTCAATAATCTCATTAATCACACTTGTAAAACACAACCATATCATTTAACAAAAAAAAACTCCATTTTCTCCATACTCAACAAAATATCGTTGATTACAATGATTCATGAAATCTCCCCTTAGAGAATAGATTTTTTAGGAACTAGTTAAGTATTATTTTATTTCTAATATTCGATGGGGTATTCCAACTTTCCTCTAATATCAATAAGATATGAGTCCAACTTAAGAGAAGATTCATTATGGAGAGATAATATCAATGTGAATCCAATTTGAGAGGAGATTCATTAGGGAGAGATAATATCAGTATGAGTCCAACTTGAGAGAAGATTCATTAGGGATAGATAATACCAATGTGAGTCCAACTTGAGAGGAGATTCATTAGAAAAAAATAATACCAATAAGACATGAATTCAACTTGAGAGGAAATTTATTAGGAAAAGATAATATTAATGAGATATGAGTCTAACTTACACAAGGAATTAACATCACTTTCAACCTAAAACTTAAGTATTAAGTTACGAATATTTCTTACTTATAAATTATTCAATTTTCTCATTTTTTATTCAATGTGAGACTTAGAGTCATACTTTAAATTTCAAACACTAATTAATATGGTACCGAGTCAAGTCTTACAATGTTGGAATTATTGAAAAATCTCCGAGGTGTGTAATAAAATCTCATAATAAACTAGAAATACGATAACATTTATATATATATATTACAAACGTTATCTTACTTAATCAATTTTATAAGATTGAGTTAGATATCACCTTATTTCTAATATAGTATGATATAGACTAAAAATATAATAATATTATAATATATAAAACCTTATTTTACTAAACTAATTTTACAAGATTAAATTATTAACTTCTTCGTAATAATATTTATGTATAAGTAGTAAAACAAAAAGATTTTTGTGTGATTTAAATTTAATGGAGTGAATAATGTGTTAGAAAAGGACTTATTATGAAATAATTTATTTTATCGTTATTTAATTATAAAATGCCTAGAATATATTTTATAAGCAAGATAGTATTAAAAGGAAAGTAATATAAGTATTCTAACCCATATGCAGAGTTAAGCCACAAAGGCTTTAGAACTAAATGAAACAACAAAAATGATTAGTACACCACCGTGGAACCCTTCCAATTTCCTCCATAGCCAAAGCCAACTTGGAACTTTGATTAGATCTAACTCAAAAAAATGTTTTGAATATTGCCTATTTTTATTTTAAGCATCCAATGATTTTTACTTCCAGAAGATTTCTGATTAAATAATAAATTTTTTAAAATATTTGGAAAAATATGTATTAAAATTTCATCTATATATCATTATGTTACTCTTTTAAATTATTTCAAAAATATTTTTAAATTTATCTTTTGATAGTAAAACTAACGAAGATAACGTTACAAATTTTAATCAAAATATTTAATTTACCATATGACAATTTAAATAAAATTTTTTATATATTAAAATATAAAAAATAAATCATATAATAAGAATTTGAAATTAATTTAAGCTTTATATATATTAAATTTAATTATAATATATCACTCAAATTATCATTATATTACAAATTATATATACCCATAATTTTTTAATATTTTATAGCCAATTTTTTATTTTTATTTTTATTTTTCATATTTCACCACATTATATGTATGTTTAGACAAAGTTTTTAATAATATTGTTTTGATATAAACTAAAATTAACTTAGAAAGAAACTAAAAATAAAAAATTTGATTTTTGAAAAGAATTTACAAAAGATGGATGAAAAGTTTGTGGCGGAAGAAGGGCTGGAAAGTGCGGGACAAGGTGGTTAGCTGAGGCAGGGCAGCCACGGAAAATGGGAAAGCTGTTGAGAGATGTGACATTCGTACGCACTGCAACAACCAACACCATTCATCATTTCACCTCCTCACTCTTTAAACCTAATTTCTAATATTTCACCAACAATCACTTTTCTTTCTAATGCACTCAATTTCTCATCATCCAGATAACACTTAAATTACTTACATACAATTTAAATAATTAATCACCCAAAATAAAATTAAATAAATAACATGATTTAAATTAATTCATTCTATCGTTTTTTTAAGATAAAATATATTTTTATATAATAATTATGATAAATATTTGTGTTTAATATTATTAAAATATTTTATATAGTTTTTATATAATATTAATTACTCTATTAAGTTTTTAATTATTATTATTAAATGTGGATTATTAATATTTTTTGGTTCTAATTAAAAAATAATTTAATAATCATAAACGTATAATGTATATTGTTAAAGTCATATGGTTTCTAAAATTTATATTTGATGAATTTTGGAAATCCACGTATGTATATACTGATTTTTATGACATAAAATTAATCTTTTATGTAACAATGATGATTATTAGAAATTAAATAAAATAATTAATAATATATTAAACATCAAACAGTTTTTAAATTATATTTGTCATAATTATTATATAGGAAAATATATTTTGGTTCGATCATTATTTTAATAAGTTTTTATTAATAAATATAAATTTTTATTATAAAATATCACTATAATATGTTATTACAAGAAAAATAGAATTTCTTTTATGGGTCAAATCTTTCAATAATCACTAAAATATGCCAGTAAATTATTATTATTGATGGTTTATTGATGAATAATAATTCGTGAATAATAATCCATCAATAATTATATTATTAATAAAATTTATTGACTATTTATCTTATTTGTCAATAATTATTTATAATTACTTATTGATATATATATATATATATATATAAATTATCAGTAATTATTGAATATATATATATATATATATATATATATATATATTTTAAAAATAATTATTAATGAATTTATTTATAATAAAATTTAACATGTATTGTGTTTTTTAAAATAATTACTTATAAATAGATTTGTTAGTAATTACCTGTTTATTGATATTTTTTTTATGGATAAATTTATTGATAATATTCATTAATATTATCCTTATTTTAGGATTCATCATTTATTATCTTTTCCGTACAGTCTATATAACATTACATATTTTATATATATATATATATATATATATATATATATATATATATTTGAGTAATTACTAAAATATTTATCTATATTAAAGTTTGACATATATTGTGTTTTTAAAATATTTACTTACAAATATATATTTGTTAGTAATTATTAGTATTATTTATTTATACGGTTTTTATAGATAAGTTCATCAGTAATCCTTTGATAATATTATCTCTATTTCTAAGATTTATTAGTTATTAGCCTCTTCGTACAACCTGTATAGTTTATATAATATATATATATATATATATATATATATATATATATATATATTCAAAATAAAGATATTTGATTAGCTAAATTATAGGTTTATTATAATTATACAAACCTATAATTTAGCTAATCAAATATCTTTATCTCAACACTCCCCCTCAAATTGGTAAATGGATGTCATATATTTTTAACTTGCCCAATAATCTCTTAAAAGACTTGTCACAGTTTTGGTAAGAATGTCTGTCAGCTGATCTATAAATCAAATATTTGACAATTCTAGAATATTTTTATCAAGTTTTTTCTTGATGAAAAATCTATCAACCTCCACATGTTTCATCCGATCATATTGGACAAGGTTGTGAGCAATGTCGCGCACAACTTTATTATCACAATACAACTGAATGAGATGTGTATGTGCATACCCTAAATCCTGGAGAAGTAGTTTGAGCCACAAACCTTCATAAAGTCTAAGAACCATTCCTATAAGTTCAGCTTCTGCACTGGATCTAGTTACAACTTTCTGCTTCTTGCTTTCCTATGTGATAAGATTACCTCCTACAAATGTAAAGTATCTAGAGGTTGATCTTTTATCATCAAGAGCATCTACCTAATATGCATCAGTATAAACCATCACATCCTTGTAGTTGGAGTTCTTCTTGAACATATATAGCTCCTTTTCTAGGAGTGACTTTTTATGTACCTTAAAATCCGTATAACAGCATCCATGTGTTTTTCACCTGGATTGTGCATGAACTGACTAACCACACTAAGAGCATAGGCTAAATCTAGCCTGGTGTGTGAGAGATACATTAATCTCCCTACAAGTCTCTGATATCTTCCCTTGTTAGTTAGAGTTTGATCTTCTTCAATGCATAACTTCAATCCCTCTTTAATTGGAGAATTTGTTGGTTTGCATGCTGCCATTCTAGTTTTTTTCAATAAATCCAATGCATACTTTCGTTGTGAGAGAAACATACTTGATTTTGATCTTGAGACCTCACTTCCAAAAAAGTACTTCAAAGAACCAAGATCCTTCATCTCAAATTCTTTTGTCAGGTACTCTTTCAATGCCTTGTGTTTCTTTAGATCGTCTCCTGTAACTATCATGTCATCAACATAGACAATAAGAATTGTAATATTTCCTTCCTTTTTCTTTAGAAACAAGGTATGATCTTGGTTGCTCTGTTGATATCCAAAAGCAAGCATTGACTTGGTGAATATACCAAACCATGCTCTTGGCGATTGCTTTAGTCCATATAATGACTTCTTCAACTTGTATACCTTCTTGCTATGTGTATCTGGGATCCCACATCCTTTTGGTAGCTCCATATAAACTTCTTGAGACAATTCCACGTGTAAGAAGACATTTTTTAAGTCAAATTATTGTAAGGACCAATCAAGGTTTACAACTAGAGATAAGAATACTCGAACTGTGTTAATTTTGGCTACAGGAGAAAACGTTTTAGTGTAATTGATTCCATATGTTTGTATATACCCCTTTGCCACTAATCTAGCTTTGAATCTCTCAATTGTGACATTTGCATTAAATTTCACAGTATACACTCATCGGCATCCTACTGGTTTCTTTCCAACTGGACAATCTACCAATTCTCATATTTTATTTCTTTGCAAGGATCTCATTTCCTCATTCATAACATCCTTCTACCTGGAGTCAGCTAAAGCTTCTTGCACACTATTAGGAATAAATACAGTAGATAATTGACTTATAAATGCGATATTTGAGTTAGACAGATTCTGGTTACAAATATAATTACTCATAGGATATCTTGTCTTACTGGTGAGGTCAAGATCATAAGTAGGCTTAGGGATACCTCTAGTGACACGATCTGACACAATTATTTTTTCTGTATTAGGTTCTTAAGGGGACGATTGGTGTGGTATATCATTAGCATCAATATGCAAACTTTCAATCTCGATATGCTCAAATTCTTCCTCATTATGTGGTTGTTGATCATCACATTGTTGCACACTTTCATAATCTCTTTATACAACTTTATAACTTCCTTTCTCTAATCTGACCTCAGTATCAATTTCTTGAGGAACAAAAGTCTGAACTTCATCATAATTCTCCCCCTGAATTTCATACTCAGGGAAAAAGTATATTAAGTTCTCATGAAAACTATATTTATAGTAGTAAACATTTGCTTAGTTTGTAGATTGTAGCACTGGTATCTTTTTTGGTGATCCGCATAGCCAAGAAACACACACCTTTCAGTTCTAGGAGACAACTTACTTCTCTGATGTTTATGTAAGTGAACATAAGCAATACAACCAAAAACTTTATGTGTTAGTTTAGCAATTCTAGGACTTACTACTGCATCTGTAAGTCATTGAATATGTGTTTTATACGCAAGAGACCTAGACGGTATTTGGTTGATAGTGTATACTGCATATGTGAGAGCTTCTCCCCAATATATTATTGGCATGTGAACTCCAATCAGTTCATCTCGAACCACCTCCAATAGATGACGATTCTTTCATTCTGTTACCACATTCTGTTGTGGAGTATTTGGACAAGATCTCTGATGAAAAATTTATTTGGCTACTAAAAGTTGTTGAAGTTCTGATTGCATATATTCTCCTTCGTTGTCACTGTGCAGTACCTGAACATGTGCTTTGTACTGAGTCTCAATCATTTTGCAGAATTTCTGAAATAGTCCTCTAACTTCACTTTTAGATTTCATCAAACATAACCAAGTCATTCGAGTACAATCATCAATAAACGTTACAAATTACGTTGAGTCACCCAACGTTGTAACCTTAGATGGACCCCATACATCAGAGTGAATAATCATAAAAAGAAGAGAACTTTTATTTGAAATTAAAGGAAAATATGTTATGTGACTCCCTGCAAGCTCGCAAATATCACAATACAAAGTTGAAGTGTTGACTTGGTCAAACACATTTGGAAATAATTTCTTTATGTAACCAAAAGATGCATGTCCTATATGCTTATGTCATAACCAAATATCTTCGTCTTTTCTCACTTCTTGAGACCCTTTTGTTGTTAGTACTTGACCAAGTTTCTTTGAATCTTTTTCTGTCAGGTCCAGGTAATACAACCTTCCTCACCTAATACCACAACCAATCGTCTTCTTCGTTTGAATGTCCTTAAAAACACAAGGGTTAGACCAAAAAATTACAACACATAAAAGAGCATTAATTATTTGCAAAACTGACAATAGGTTATATTTAAGAAAATGAATAAGAACGACATTATCAAGGTTCAAATTGTTTGAAATAGAGATTGTTCCTTCTCTAATGATAGTGGATTTACTACCATTGGCTGTGGAAATACTTTTTTGTGAGGAAGGTTTAAGATTTTTAATCTGTCTAACATCAAAAGTCACATGATCAAACACGTAAAATCAATTATCTATGCATTATTCAGAATGGTAGATGTGCTTATTAAGGTTTTACCATTGGAATCATCACTACCTGCGGTTGTAATAAGCATCATGTCTTTGTCGTCCTCTTTGTAAATGGCAGTTACAGCAGTAGTTGGATTTCTTTTTAAATTCTTCTTCGATGCTCAACTGTGATCCCACCACTCGGGATATCTTATGATTTAATAACATCGTTCTTTGATATGTCCATCCTTATTACACTGAGTACACTTGTAGTTACCTTTTTCAGGACCTTTTGATTGCTTCGCTTGCTTCCATATTATCATAACTGTGGAATTAGAAATCATATCTTCTATTTTCAACATTATTCGCTGGACTGTCTCTCTCTGAATCAATGCATAACATTCTTCTAAATCAGGTGTCACTTCTTTGCGCAAGATTTCTCTACGAACTTGTTCAAAATCATCATCCAGTCCAGTAAGGAATATATGCACCATCAATATTTCAATGGACTTCGGATATGACTTCATATCATTAGGATCCTTCATGACTACTTTGTCACGATGATCCAATTCCTTAAAAATCTCAACCAACTCCCCATAATATTCAGTTAGGATTCTATTATTTTGTTTTGCAGTGAATGCTCTTTGATTCAGGACAAACACCTATAACTCATCACTTCCATCATAAAACGCCTTTGACAAAGTATTCCAAATATCGAGGGTAGTGGGTAAGCGAAGATACCTTTTCATGATTTCTGGCTTCATGGGTATCAGTAACCATCTTTTCACTTTTTGGTTTTCAGCATACCATTTTTCATATTTTCATCTTTCTCTGTTGGAGGATTCACCTTCCCACGGATGTAGGACAATTTTTCCCTCTCTGTAATGTGCATCTCTATTAGTTGTGAACATACGTCATAGTTGGATTCATTTAGGATTATGCTTACATTAAAGACACTTTCAGATTGAACTACCACTGGAATTGGTTTTTCTGTCATCTCTCCAGTTAAGATCTCCAAAGATTTAGATAGAAAAAGAAAAAAAAATTTAAGCTCTGGTATCAAATTGAAAAACATAGAATTCATTCTATAATTTTATTTATATATCTTTTAGATATAAATATCATGTTCTTATAGTATTTTACTTCTACAAATTAGCATTAAATAAAGTAAGTTCTCATTATGCACTATTTTATACAATTATACAAACCTATAAATTAGCTAATCAAATTCATAGTTTCTTTATTTTACATAAACAATGTAAATGAATTTTCTATAATATTTCAATCTTATGTCATGTTTGATTTAACTAATTTATTGTTTAAGAAGAATGATTTAAGATCATTTAAGGCAATGTATAGGTGTGATAAGAAGTATCTAAGAGTATTTTGATATAAATGGTGAGATATCTATCTCAGTTTTACAAAATCAATGCAGCAAAGTGAGAATTATACTTTTATATATATATATATATATATATATATATATATATATATATATATATATATATATATATAAATATAAAATATGTTATGATATCTCTTGGTTTAATATTTTTTAGGATATAGAAATATTTATAAAATTTGTTTTCTCACAAAGGAAATTTAAGATAAAAATTATTTTTTCCCAACAATTTGTCACGTCTTTTTTTTTTTGTTATAAATTTTTTATATTTAATGGAGTAGTAGTATTTTTAATTTTCAAATACTAATTTTCTTTAATTTTTTTTCTACCTACGTTTTTCTTTTATTCTTTAAACGATTATCTTAAAAAAAACTTAAGAATAATTTTGACATTATAATAAAAATTTATTTACTAACCCTCCTCATTTTAAGCAAATTAATTAAATAAACCTATAAATCGTCAGTATTTTCTAACAAAATAACACCATTATGTAACCATTTTTGTATTTTTATTTTCTATATTTAATGATTTTTTAGTTATTTTTTAATATTTATTAATTTGAATTAACACAAAATATTTTTAATTTTCAAATACCATTTTTGATCTTTTCTTCATAAAAATGTTTCTATTAAAAAATAGCTTACGAGCAATTTAACCATTAAAAAAAATCATATTCCAACTTTCATCAAATCAATCAAATGTACTAACAAATTTTTTAGTCATTTTAACTTTTTTATTGTTAAATTAAATAATTCCTTTTTTCATCCATTTTCTCTCCATGTTTTTCTAATTTCATTTTCACTATTCATCCACTAACTCAAACAAAGATTTAGTATTAGATATTTTAATTTTGTTGTTTATTTTTCTAAGAAGATGATATATTGACACAAGCTACCCAAAAACATTCGTTAGACAAATATTTTTACTAATATAATAATTATTGAATGATTTAATAAAAAAATAATTTAAAATTATTATTACTACAATATAAAAATGGATTGTTAACAGAATGTTTACCAAATTTAGTAGGATTTTCTGTCATGTATCATAATATTGGATAATGGTTGGATTTTTTTCTAACATGTTATTTTATCCAACTTAATGTTTTTTAGTTAGTCAATTTTACATGATGAATATTAATTTTTAAATTTTTTATTACATATTCTCTTTATATATTATTGATTAGAATATAAGTATGAGTAAGAATTTTATATTTACTAAAAAAAGAAATTAGAATAATTAAAAAAATAAAAAATAAAAAATTGAATAATTTATAAATAAGAAAAATTTATAAGCTCTTGAGATTTTAGATCCAAAATATAACCTATTCTCCATATCTCATTTGCAAATTTTTCATTATTGAAGTTTGAAAAAAAAAAAAATATATATATATATATATATATATATATATATATATATTTTTTTTTTCTTTATGTGTATCTAGAGTGACAATGAAGGATGAGTTGGTGATAAACCCGTAAGCCTAACATCAAAAGCATGAGTTAGATTTTTTTTTTTAACCTCCATAATTTATATATTTTTTAATAATTAAACTAATAAATTATTTATAAATTTTGATATTTTTCAATCCAATCTATTTTCAATTTTTTTTTACTTTTATTCATTTTTAGGATTTAGGTTCATTTAATACATAATTATTTATTAATTTTAGGTTATCATGATAAACTTTTATATTAGTTATTTTTTAATTGAATTTAAAATTAATTATAATTAAAGAGGATTGTGACTTGAATCTTACCTTCATTATTAAAATAAATATTAAAAACACATAGAGATTACAAAATTAAAGACTAAATTTATCAATTTAAAAAAAGAAAATGAGATATTTGCTTAAAATTTATAATAATTAATTTTTTTATTAAGAGAGATTATTATAATATTTTATTTAAATTTTATAAATTAAAATTATAAAAAGTAATATGTCTATTATATAAAATATTAATTTTTAAAAATATTATGCACACTAATTTGTAATTGGTCATATCCATATTTATGCAAAATAAATGAAGCATATATTTTTCTAACTGTTTTTTACGTACCCAACGTCACGACCCAATAAATGCGTAGGAGTTTTGTTGAGAGGAAGACATAATAAAATGAATAAAAATGGAGAAGAGAGTTTGTGAAGTGTTTGTGGAAGGTGACACCAATCCACACACTCGCCACCGGAAATCGACACGTGTCATAAAAAGAAAAGGAAGAATGAAATAGTTGTGTTGTGGATAAGAGTGAGAGAGAAAGGGTTGATCTGAAAGAAAAAGCCTGACACAGACTTTGACCCATGTACGGAATGTCTTCTCCATCAACACTTTTGCATCATCTTCTTCAAATCACTCAAATGGCATAGCCCATACAGGCCCAATATCATCATCATTGCAATGCCCAATTGTTTCTGCGTGATCCTTTTATGGGTAGAGGTTCATCTACAAAAATAAATAAACAGTAATAATACTGAATTTTTGGGAGATAACATAAAATTTTCAGATTTCTATAACATTGACAACAATATCTCTTGTGGGAATACAATGACCTAATAATATTAACTATATGGGTGAGCATATAATTATTTACTCTAATATTAATTATTCAGAATTGGGTAGAAAAAAAATAAATCTTGAAATAATTTTATTGAGTGAATTTATGTTTTCAACCATACAATGAGTTACTGTGTAAATCAATAAAATTAGCTAGGAATGTGGTTTGGAGTGTCCAAGCTATTTGACTAAACATTGAACAATCTCATTCATTTGGCTGTTTTTCTGTTTCTGAGAAAGTTGTACTTCTTATATTTTATTATGCTTTCTCAGATGTACAATGAGCAAGAAAGAAAACAAGCAAATGTTTCTAAGAAAAACAACTCAGTGATAGTTAAGGTACAGGTAGACAATGGATTCCCCTTATCAAAATAATCTTAAAAAAAATGTTTTTATCATGTTTTGTATTTCTAATACTTTAAAGATTACACTTTTAAATATTTTTATTTTTCTTCTTTAAACTTTGTCAAGGTATAACTAACAAATATTTTAGGGATATTACCATTGCAAAAGTCAAGTAGTATTTTAGTAGAAACGGTTGAAAACAAAGTAGAGTGAACGTTGAGTATAAATAAAAATTTAATATTAACAATCATAACCGAATATTTTATAAATTTAAAATTTGCGAAAAACATTTGTACAACAAAGTTTATCGAAACCTATATTTTGATTAAATTAATTTTCAAGTTTATCTTGTTGTAATAAATTATTTATAAATGCTATTATTTGTATAAATTCATTTTATTATATATTAGCCATGCAAATCACTTAGAATAATCTAGTAATAATAACATTTAAATATTTTACATAAGAATGAAAAAAAAATACAAAATATTTGAATTATTATCTTACTATAACTAAATATTTTCTCAAAAATAGGTTACTAGTGTTAACCACTTTAAATTCACTTATTTTTACTTATTGAATAGATGCAAATCTTAGAGGCCACATGAATACTTTGAATTCCGTAAACAAAAGTTTTATATCCTACGTTATCATCTTAAATACATATTAAATTTTTAAGACATCAACAATATTTCTTTTTCATTTAAAGTTTTCTATATAATGTAAAGGAACACTTGGAAGAGAAGGAGGAAAATTATTTACTAAAACTGTTAATTATGATTCATGAAAAAAAGGTTATTGCCTCGTTCTTCCTACCAAACTACTTTAGTTCCCATACATCTTTTACCCTAAAGAAAGAGGTTTGGACCACCTCACCTGAAAAATAAGTAATAGGATAAGACAGAACTTGCTAAAACTTGAATTGCTTGATTGGTGACAAGTCCTTCCATGAAGTGTTGGAATTATCCCAACACTTTGTAAGATCACAATCCCTTTGGTTATATTGCAATCCTTTCCAGACGGTCCAACAAAATCTTTCTTGGTGAAACATGTGTTCATTATTTAATGCAATAATTCCACTCAATTTAAAGATCTTCCTCCAAAGGGGACCACTACAGAAATGTGAATGTGGAAAACACATGGTTGCTGAAGCTAGATTGTATAAGTTGACCAAAGTCAAATGGTTCATGCTCAATTTAACAACCCTCTCCCCCCTTTTCCCATAAATATCCAACTTCAGTGACAATCTTATTTTGAAGCACGATTAGAACCTAAATATAAGCACCTCTTCTAACAAAAAATCAAACATTAATTTGCCATATTATGATGAACCAACCCCATTCTGTCCGATCCAAATCCTGTCAATCCCCACCCCAAACTACCAGAACTATTAATTTTGCACAAAACAGGCAATAAAATTAAATGATATTAACCTGGACATAGCCATAATTCTTATTCATTGGTTCTAAATTCATCACTTGGTTGGAAAGTTGGGGAAGAGGTTGGGTTTAATGCCATTAGATAATAAAGACGCTACATCTGGCTCGGTAAGTTCAGAGAAAATGCAAGGACCGCATATCGGTTAAAGAAACAGCTAAATAAAAATCTATCTAAAGAGAGTTTGTTAAAATAAGTGACTATTTAAAAAAAATAAGTTAAAGCAAACATGGACTATATGCGTGACAATTGCTCCATTTCTATGATTGAGTGCAGCAACCATTGCATACAAAATTGGGAAAAAAATATACACAACTGCAGGAACAGACTAGATACCTAACCTAAATACCTCACGAAAGATTTTTCCAGAAAACACCGACATTTTCCACCCAGTTGATAATGTCACCACAATCTTTTTCTCACTGTATAGTCAGCTCAAAGCATCCTACTTTGGCTTGTCATTTAGGGTTACAAGCGATTTGAGCACTCCAGGACTTATCTTGTCTGCAAGAACACCTGCCTCTGATATAAGGTAAGATTTTTCCTTCACAATGCTCTGTAGTTTCTTGGACTCGAAGTCAAGCTGTGTTTGATCTGAAAATAATTACATGGTCATAAGAAAAGATACCAAGCAATTGTTATCATAAATAATATTTTCAATAAAAGGACTTCACTCATAGCTATAGTTCAAAATTTGGACTATCACAATAATAATGATCAACAAAAGAGCACGAATAGTGATAGTCCGTCTCATCATAACTTCTAAACTATTAAGTTGGTGCATAATAATGACCATCCATGCCAAGTCATTTGCTTATCTAAGTACAGATTCTGTGTTACACGATAAAAATATATAAAAATAATCAGAAAGTCCTATATCAACAACACCCAGACTCCAAACTAATGCATCAAACCCAGCTTCTCATTTCATCCACTACAATATGAAAAACATATAATGAGGGGAAAAGCTTAATCTCACAAGTATTGGATTGATTAGGATTAAGGGGTTATGGCCAAACATTACTAACGTAGAATGCCCTTCCCCACCCCATATATCAAAATACAGACGTAATAAGCAATAGCCAGCAAGAAATATGCTCAAGCACATGAAAAAAGATAACCAACATGAGTAAACATTTAAAGAAATTTTCTCGCTTTTTTTCTCAGTATTTTTCCAATGGTTAGAGGATAGGGTTGCCAGAAATGAAAAAAACCTGTTTCCAATATAGTATGAGCTGCATGAAATGGAATTCTGGCAAACAGATCCGTTCCTGGAAACATCATCCATGTCTGCTCAGAAGAGTCATGGTTGCCACAGGTGTTGCAAACCTCCTGAACCAAAGGTCTTGAGCTGGGCCTGGCAACTCCCTTCATTATTGATTCAAAAGGAGATGGAACACTGCTCTTTGTTGTTCGAGCCCTTTTCCTTAATGCAGTAAGTGCTTCCCTATTCCCATTTCTCAATCTATCATTCTCAACCAGCTGTAATTTGCCGAAAGGGTCAATTGCATAGCACATTTAATTTCATAGAAAAAGCCATTAAAGAGATTCAGTAGGACAAAAAAGCATCCTTTTATTGGCAGTAGTAAAGAAAAAAAATCTTGATTGGTACTATGGTATTGAATTGATTGTAATTAAGGACATTGCATAGTAATAAGAAAATAACACTGGGATTAAGTAATTAGTTACTTCGTGCATCCAAACTGACCACAAGTCATTAGGCACTTGGTTGGTTCTTTGTAGCTTTTGACGAGTGCATTGAGTTCTGGTTTAACTTATAGTTATTAATCCTAGATAGTAGCACAGGGCAGCAGATTCTGAAAATGCTTAGTAAGATAGTAGATAGTAGAATGGACACTATACCAAAGATACTGAAAAAAATGTAACAATAAAGCCATCTAATCAAAGAACAATTTATGATGGACAGACCCAAGGTTTCATAATATAGGAGACGTAGTTGCCCAACTACTTTGGTTGATGGGTCAAGCTTATAGTTTTTGTCATTTAAGGGTGTGTTTAGATAAAAGCTTTGTTGAAAAAGAAAACTACTATAATATAGTTTTTCAAAAGCTACTCTTCTAACTTATAGAGAGGCACCGGAATTTTTTTTAGACTAGATTTTCCTTAAAAACCTTTCCTAATTATCTTAAAATCTTTAAGCAATTCATCCTTTTCCCAATAGGTGGGTTCGGCTACATAGATGGGTCAAACAATGCTATGTTTTACAGTAAATCGTGTTGATATAGTCAAATTATTGACCTTTAAATCTTCCTTTATTGTTTTTGCAATAGTTTTTCTGTCTCCATCATGATTAAAAAATGTTTTAATCATGTGAAACTTACACGAATACACCATTTCAAAGTTATATATGGTTAAGTTTCACATGATTAAAACATCAAGGTGTCTATTTACATATTTTCTTCTGGTTAGTTTTGACACAAATTATTCACATGTTAATCACACGACGAAGTCTGTCAAATTTTAATGGAGTTTTCCACATGTTGAGAACATTGAGGATCTAAATACGCCTTTTTGAAGTCTAGAGACTAAGTTGTATATGACACAAATCTCAAGGCGCTAATTTGTAACTTTCCATGTTTAATATGATACAGAACTATTTCTTCTTAAAAATATATAATTGAAATGTGAAGAACTGTGTACCAGACGTCATATTGATTCTTTAATGAAATGAGCTGGATGTTTTCCCCATAAAAATTGGTGTAAGAAAATTGGGAAGAAGACAGCATTAAGGAGTAGATTAGAAGAATGTATTAGTTGAGAGTAAAGTGTCTGAAATTGAAATTCATTCTTATCGTGTTCCCAGAAGAATATTTGGATGCATCAGTAGATTTTGACAAACATACTTCGTACAAACCAAACAAAAAGCTACCGCTGAAAACAAATAATAATTATTAACTTTACCATGTACTTATTCATTAAGACCAATTTTCTGTCCACCATGTAGCATTTGAAGCAAGATTTTACTCCTTTTGAATTAATTTTATTACTTACTTTGTTTCTAAGTCTTCAAAAAAAACCATTAATCACCTTCAGTTCACAAATTCGAATTACCTGATGTCGGGCTAAAAGAAGATGCTCAGCTTCCACTTCCAGTTCTGTTAATTGCTTTTGGAACTGTTTCATGGTCTCATCCATATTTGAAGAAAACAAACTCCTGGAAAGTTGTAAGTAAAATATTATCTAGAGAAATTTATGTAAAATATTGTCAAAACAACAAGCTTTCAGTTAAATCCAAATGGAAAAATAATGATATTTGTTCTTACTGGGATGGTGGAGATCGGCAAGTGCATGTAGCGTAGGTCGAATTTTGAGTTGTGACTTCAAAATAATTGAAAATAATCTTTTTTGGAAAGAGAAAAAACCAACTAGCAAAAAACACTCCGTAGCTCAAATAAGTTTTTAGACAAGAGAATAGTGTATTTGTATTTTGAGAATGAATAATAGGATAAGATTTACTCTTTAACTTAATCTCCTTATATAGTATCTAAAATAATAATAATAGTGCAAAAAATAATAATTGATATTATAAAATGATAACAAATTAAAAAATAAATAACAAACTTAAAGATAATGTATAAAATTAATAAATATCTTATTTTCCATGTTTAATGGATATGGGCCGAGTAGATACAATATTTGTTTAGATTTGAACTACAAATGTAACTAAAAACCCATTTATGGATGAAGGAATATTCTAATATGTTTTTTGGTCCAACCACCAGCTACTTATCTATGCAGTTAAGTACTCGCCAACATATTGAGTGAAAATATTTATGATCAACATAACAAAAAAAAAAAGATAGTTCACTTCAATGGTGCAATGACTTCCACTTCACTCCTCAATTGCTACTGCAGTAGTCTCAATGCACAAGGGTTTCAGCTGGGGTAATAGAACTCCACTAAATCATGAACCAGGAACCCGTTCACACTTTCTCAAGACAAACCTCAGAATATCATGACTACATCACGACTAAGGGCTAATATTAGCAAGAGTCAATGACACAATGGTTATCACCAAAAAATATGAGCACCATTTTTGGTAAGCATATGGTAGTTTGAACTGGTCAAACAAATATTTATTCATGGATAAGCTTCATGCAGGTAAAACCCTGTTCATGATGATGACAAAATGTTACATACCATGACCTTGAAAATGTGTCACCTGTCCACTCACCAAAACCACATGACAACATTTGGACAAAACAATAAACTACAAGGCATGGAAAAACACAGCTCTATAATACTCTCTCCAAGCAAAATTTTGATGGTGAATAAGACGTGTAAAGTTGATGACTTCGGATGCTTATGTGGTGGCCACTGCCAAACTAATCTGACTTTCAATCCGGGGTTTCTTACATGTAAATGGGTCAATCAGGTCACTTTGAAAATCTGAAGCTGTTTAAATTAATTTGTGAATGAAATGCCAAAATATGATCATGAAGAAGCAGAACCCACTTTGGTTTTGTATTCTTGTTTCCCTCTTAGACTCATCTGATTTTCAGAGTACAGTGTAGGCTTGGTTGCTTCATTTTCTAACTGCATTTGGTATATCTTTCTCATAGCTGACTGATTACAGAGGCTCAATAAGTCATGCAATATTCTCATTCTCATGGGTAAACATTTTTGTGCTGCTTTCTTATTTTCAACCATATTTTTATGATGAGATAAAAGTTTGCGCCTTAAAGATTACTACTCAAACTCGAAACGCAAGCAATTCCACTCAGATATAGCTACTCAACTAGTCACTAGGTGTCATAGATCATCCTGGGGAAGATTAGCCACCAAGCAGGGAAACTGGCATCAGGAAGGTTTGAATCCATACCCATGGGGAAGGTGGGAGATAGTACATATATATTTTCAACCATATTGCACATTAATTTGGTTACAATTAAGCATAGTAATTGTTGTATCCTAATCCCATCACTGAGTTTTTCTGTATACAATAGTGCTAAGTACATGTATCCCAATTACAATCTTTTAGAGCATGTGAAAAGGGGGAAAATCCCTTACAAATTACACTAAAATGGGCCACCATAGAGTGTAATCGGAGTTTCGCTTATCAAAACTCAAGCATTGGAAAACACTCATATTCTCATAGAATTTTACAAAATATCAGAAAAGAGACATATTGAAGAATGTAAACAGCATTCTAAATCAAAGTAATAGCAATCAAAACATCAGGCTGCAATTGATAGAGAGTGATTGAGACGCATCATGAGAATGAATACCTGATTCAAGTTGCCTCCAGCGTGAATCTTCCGGCCACGAATTTGAGGTTCGGGTCACTCGAATGTGGAGGTTCAGTGGTGAAGCACGGTGTAGGGTGGATGTAACGGAGAATGAGAGTGAGAGAAGAAATATTTTTATTTTATTTTATTTTATCAAGTTGATTTGTTCACGACCGAACTTTTAAAGGCAAAACCCATAAAATTAATAAAATAATAAATATTATTATTATATATAAAAAAAAGTTTTCCAATTTTTTTTAACCCAAAAAGTTATTTAAATCTTTACGAATAAAAATGTTTTTGTCCCTTGACAAGTTCAATTTTAGTTTTTTTTTTTTTTTTTTTTGGATTCTGTTTCTTTTAATTAAAAAAAATCTTTTATATCCTTAAAAGTCAATAGCTAAGCATTTTAAAATTAAAAAGACTGAAAAAGATAAAAAAATTGAAAAAAATTGAAATATTTTAAAGAATACGAATATTTTACAAATTCATATTTATCAATGTATATAAAGAAATTTTTTTAATATTATCTGTGAGAAAAAATAAAAATGTTATAATTTAAAATAAAAATAATTATTATAATTTATATATTAAAAAATAATATATTTAAAGAGTAAAAAATAAAATTTAAAAAACATTAATTATGAAAGAAATATATAATCACACAACGAAGTGGAAAAAGTTACTCATCTTCTATAGGAGATGAATATCACATGAAAAAAAAAAATCAAATAAAGACTTTTTCTTTTCTTTCCCTAAACAATTGCAGATTCCTCTAACCGTTTCAGTATGAATCTACTCACTAGCTTTTTCTCTCTCTCCTGGATTACCGTATATACTTACTCCTATTACTTCTCCTTAACTTCCACCACATTAAATTTTCTATTTTGCTTTCACTTTTACACAACTTTTTTAACTTATATATACGCGACCAACTCTTTTATTCTGCCATTGTCAAGTCTCAATCTCTTTCTTTCTAGAATCTCACTCTAAGTCATAATGGCGGCCACAGACCCAGTTAGAGTTCTTGTCACTGGAGCTGCTGGTGATTTTCTTTTCCATGCATAAAACTAATATCTAACTTTAATTTAATGCATTCTTGTGTGGATTGTCATCTAAGAAAAAATGTGGCCTGTAAATATTCTAATGTTTATTTTATGGATCAAACTTTGAAAAATGTTCTTTTCTTTGTTGCTAAGGTGGCGATGATTGATTCTCTTGCATTTCTTGTGGACTTGGTTATGGTATATGATTGTCTTGTTACAGAGGAATGTAACATATGCATAGATTCTTCAATTTTAAAATTGATATATTTATAAAAGGGTAATGAAGGAGATTTTGTCCCTCGGATATTAACACAAATCGATCATGGAATTGGAAATGTTAGCTTGGGACATTGAGGGCTATACATTTCTTCAGAAAATTCTTCTTGTTTTGCTTTGTGTTATTTTGTTTTGGAAGATTGTTAGATACATGTTTTGTCTTCTCAAGGAGGAGAAGGAACCAATCACAGTATTGGTCACTGGTGCTGCAGGCATGGATGATTAAGTCTTCCTCCTCATTTTTTAAATTTTCCTCTAATGTTTTCTCTATTTGCATATCTTTGACAAAGTTTTAAATAGTAGTTATGGATCATATTTTTGTCTCGTTCTTTGATATTGTGGGAAATTGCAGAAAAAAGTGAGTGATATGATGTAGAGGTTGGAACTTTTATTTTAGCATTGTCTTGCAATGCAGTTCGTATTCTAAACTAAAAATGTTTATGTCTGACTCAAATTTGATTCAGTGAGCTCTTAGTTGACATTGGCTAAACTTGTGAAATGTTCATCATGCTTTAATGATTTTGGTCCATAAATTGGAAACAGAATTATCAGATGTGCAGTTATTTGTGAATCTTTATGTTGAATGAATTCAGTTTCATGGCATGTATTATTTTCTTATTGGTCTTATTCTTGTGCTGAATCTCAAACTCACAGAAAATGTGAGACTGTATGTTCACAAGAAGAAAATATGGAAATTAGGACTAGGAAAATTTGGTTGCAGCATTAGTCTTTTTAACTTCATTGGCATGCAACTTTTAATTTTGATTTGGTTCAATTCCAGGGCAAATTGGCTATGCACTTGTTCCAATGATTGCAAGAGGGGCAATGCTGGGCCCAAATCAGCCTGTGATTCTGCACATGCTTGACATTGAACCAGCAGCCGAGGCCTTGAAAGGGGTGAAGATGGAGCTGATTGATGCTGCTTTTCCACTTCTTAGAGGCAAGTTTTTATACTATTTCTTGATGTTTTGTTTTAATTCCCATAAAACTTTTTTTACTCTATAATATTTAGTTCGTTTTGAATTGTCTCTTTTAAATAAGAATGAAAGTAAATGATTTATGTATTACTTTCAAAATATTGTATGAAACTATATCTTCATAGTAGTTGATAGAATAATTCTTAATCATTATTACTAGCACAGTAGTGTATCAACATGAAACTTGATGTATCAACATTAAACAAAATTTTTAGAGAAGGGCAACAAAATTTGACTATTTCTTACATATTTACCTCTTATGATTTTTCTTCTCTGACATAATATTGTTTTACATATAAATGCAATAGGTGTTGTTGCTACTACTGATGTTGTTGAAGCTTGCAAGGATGTGAACGTTGCTGTGATGGTGGGAGGATTCCCCCGAAAGGAAGGAATGGAAAGAAAAGATGTGATGTCTAAGAATGTTTCAATTTACAAGGCTCAAGCTTCGGCACTGGAGAAACATGCTGCAGCAGATTGTAAGGTTAGACAGAAACCACTTTCTAAATCACGTTAACTATTATCCACAATCATGGTCCTCCAAGTCTAATTGGTAATTTCTCTTGTTAATGCAGGTGCTGGTGGTTGCCAATCCAGCAAACACCAATGCTCTCATTTTGAAAGAGTTTGCTCCTTCAATCCCTGAGAAGAACATCACCTGCCTTACACGACTTGATCACAATAGAGCCTTAGGCCAAATCTCTGAGAGGCTAAATGTTCATGTCAGTGATGTGAAAAATGTCATCATTTGGGGCAATCACTCCTCAACCCAATATCCAGATGTCAACCACGCCACAATCACTGTCAGCAATGCAGAGAAGCCAGTCAGAGAATTAGTAAATGATGATACATGGTACCTCACTTTCAAACCATCTCAGTGTAACTCCCTTTGGTTTTGATTACTTGTGTCGACTTGTGTTTGATATAGATGCTAGATTATGTCATTACCATGTTTGAGTTTTCATTTGGTATTTAGGATCACACCAATTAGAAAAACCACAGTCAATTCCTTTAATCTGGAGTCCCCCACCAGGCCTCATATGTGGAAACATTGATCCTTAAAAACTTACCAAAATGACAAACTAAATCTGTCATCATTCATTCAACAACAATATGCATGTCACAAAATTAAAATCCTCAGTTAGTATATACAAAATTTAGGTGCCATATCATAAGTATTGTTTATACTGTTGTTTTAGATTAAAAATTCCAAATCAGTATAATCTGCATAATAAAAAATTTCATTAAAATATCAACTAAGATTATTGAAATGAAACTTCAATTTGGAAAAAAAGAAAAACGGCACAAAGACCATCAAAGGTTTTGAAACTAAGTTTTTGTCATTTCAGTATTTATGAATGCCATAGACAAGTCATTTTCTTTCATTAAGAAAGTAATTTTGTTTATGATTTGTGATAGGCTCAACAATGAGTTCATCGCCACTGTTCAGCAACGTGGGGCTGCCATCATCAAAGCCAGAAAGCTGTCTAGTGCATTATCTGCAGCAAGTGCTGCATGTGATCACATTCGTGATTGGATTCTTGGAACTCCCAAGGTTGGTTCTTTTTTATCCTAAGCAGAACTTCACCCCATGCAAGTTGTTACTTACAATTTGAACAATCTCTTCACAAATGTGTTCACCTCTCGTTGTACTTGCATTGATTTCAGGAAACATGGGTGTCCATGGGAGTGTATTCTGATGGATCTTATGGTATCCAAGCTGGCCTCATATACTCTTTCCCTGTTACTTGTGAGAAAGGAGATTGGACTATTGTTCAGGGTACATTTTCTTCCTCTCATAAACTGCAGGATTTAAATTTCTTCTTGTTCTTTCATGCCTATATTCAAAGAACTTTTCATTGGGTCAACCTAACCACAACAAACTTATGTTCTGATAACTTATTTATGGACAAATGTTAATAACACACTCTTTTGAATACTTCTGTCAAAAATTAGAATGAACCATCTTCATTATACTATTGATATTGATTACAGAAGTTTGTAGGTCTTGCATCATATTTTAAAAGGTGTTACTACCTACCACATTTCTTCTTACATCTAAGAAGCATGATTTTGAATATTGATGGTAAAAAATGTCATGGTTTATTTGATAATGCCATTGATGTTTGTGGTAGGTCTCAAGATTGATGAGTTTTCAAGGGATAAGATGGACAAAACAGCCCAAGAGCTAATTGAGGAGAAGACATTGGCCAAATCATGCCTTGAATGATTACCCATCTTCTCTAGAAATTGCTACCCAATAATTGTGGCCATTGAAAATAAACAAAAAGGGAGACTTTCCTGAACCCAGAAGAAGAAATGAGAGTCAGTCTCCACCTTAAATTGTGTTGAGATTAGATTTTTATTGCATGGTTGTTTAGGAAATTTAGTCCTTCAGACAATGTCAATGTGCTAGTTTATCCTTGGTTCACTTTTAGTTATATAAAAATGCAAAAAAGGGTTCATTAGCACTCATTTTTTCATATGCTTTTTATTTAGTGAAGTTCATATTAGATCTACTAAAATATTATTTAATACATCAAATACATCTTATATGATCTTTTAAAATAAATTATTTAGAGAACAAATGACGTTTCACACAGAACAAACTTTATAAAGTCGAAATGTTTATGGAAGAACTTATTTATAGACTTAAAAAAACTTATTAATATTTTGAACTTAAAAAAAAAAGACTTTTTTTAAAAAAAGTGAGAGGATATTTATTGAAAATTAACTAAATTATCAAAGGATAAAATTAAAATTAATATCACAATCTTGACATTATTATTGTTGTTATATAAATTTTAAATCTAAATAATGTGTATATGATTATATTGATTAGATAGGTATTATATGCTGATAAATATACAATAACAATATATTTTAATAATATAAAAATATTATCATATTAAAAAATGGGTTATAATATTTAATTGTCAATATATCTTTTTTTTCGTGTAAATCAATTTTTTTCATTAATATGTCTTTACTATTAATCTTTTATGTTTTAACTTAAAATAAGTAGTCAATTAATAAAAGTGAATAAATTTTGAAATCTTATTGTAATAATGTGTAGGCTGAATCAAAATTTAAGAATACATTAATATTATATATAAAAAAAACGATTGAATTTAGTTGTTACTCATTAATTAGGAACACCGAATATAATGTTGTTGTAATGGAATGTAATTAATTAATATAAGAGTAAATAAATAGTTTTAAAATATATGATTAAATTTATTAATTAATCATATTTATATATAATTTTCATTTAAGTGTAAATATAGATAAAGTAAGAGATGAAAGTTATTGTAAATTAGTGTACATTTAAAATTAGAGGAGTGTAAATGTTATTTGAGAAGAATTTAGATAAAGTAATAATAGTTCTTCTAAGAGTATAATATATTTAATTTAAAAAATATTTTGAAGGATTAGAACAATAAATTCAATAAAAGTATTATTACTCTTGAAAAAAATTAAAAAAGATGACTATTTTAAAATAAAAGATTTTTTTTTTCCCTTATAAAGGAGAAGTAGTTGAATTGAGTTGAGAGTGAAGTGCAGAAAAGAAGGGAAGGGAAAGAATGATGCAGAGCAAAAGGGTAGGGTGGTGGTTCTTCGCAAAAGCAAAGCTTAGCCTTAATACATACCGAAACCTCTCTTCTTCTCAACACGTCGTTCTCGACAACCCCAATCACAGTCAGGTCACGTTGTTTTCTTCTCTCTTCCTTTTCTTGTTTTATTATACTATGTTCTTGAATCTCTGTTTTTCTCAAATCACAATGTAGCAGGTTTTGGTCGAAGGAAATGGATGCTCCAGAATGGCCATTCTCAATAGACCCTCTGCTCTCAATGCTCTCAATACCAATATGGTATCTTTCCTTTTCTTCTCATCGCTTCAAGTTAATCATTAATATAATTTTCCTTTTTCTTTTTTCATATGTGATGCTCTAATTCCAAACACTCGTGGTTTTTTGTTATGTATGATTTTGCTGTGATTGCACACAACCTAAGTGATAAAAATCTTTATGGGTGGTAATATGCTTTTGGTGGTAATAGATTTTGGTTTATGATTGTGCTTTTCTCAGGCGGCTACACTGCATAAACTTTATAGGAGTTGGGAAGATAACCCTGATATTGGTTTTGTAATGGTGAAGGTAATCTCTATTTTTTCTATGTTTTTGTTATGATGCACAATATGTCTAATGTATTTTACATGCTTAACCAGCTACAAGGTGGTAAGCCAAATTTTCAATCCTTGAAAGAACTCATTGACTAGAGATGTAACTAAATTGTAATATATAAAAGGTTCAAACCTTACCTTATAAGTCGATTTTGGAAGTCGATTTTGGAAGTCAAGTTTGGAAGATTGAGTTAAACCTAATTCCACTTTTTAAGCGTATTCCAATTAAATTCATTTTCTATTATCTTTTTTCCCTTTTCTCCATATTGCACTTTCGATGCTAGCAATGATCTCGTCTTCAAGCATGTTTAATGATGTGATACTTACATAATATTTTCAATTTTCTTAAGGGCAGTGGCCGAGCATTTGCAGCTGGTGGAGATATTGTTGCCCTTTACCATTTGATAAACAAAGGTAAATATCAATATTTCTTTTTTTTTCAAGATATGGACAGAAAAATTCTTCTCTGAATCTTATTCAGTTGTCTTAGTTTTGAGGTTCTAAAATGTTTGTTTATTTTCTGATTGTATTGAGGGTTTAATGAGATAATGAACCTTGTGAAACATCACTATTCAATACCAATATGGGGATAATATGACTTGAATTGGTGGTTAATTTTTACATTTTTTGACAAACAAAATCTATTCCGAAGAGTTTTGGTACTTGAATTTTTGCTGCTTAAGAGAATGCAAACTTGAGATGAAAGTTTATACAAGCTCGAGGAGCTTTGGTAAACTCTACTTGTAAAATCATCTCATAAGAATTTACCTAATATAAAAAATAAAATTAAAAATTTTGTTGATGACATATATGCATAACATTGTATTTTTTATACAATAATAATTAAATATTTCTGTATCATAATAACGAAAGTAGAAAATCAAATCACAATAATAAAGTGTGACAGTACAAGATTGCTAACTCGTTTACTAACAACTCGTTTTATCTATTTAGGATTTTTAACTTGCCAGAGTTTTTAATAGTTGAGAGTTTGATAGACGTGAGTGCAAGAGAAATTGTAGGTTGCATCGATAATAACGTTTTTTAAACATGAATTTTTGTAATGCATTTTAGCCACATAATTTTTTTTTGTTTTTTATAGTTTTTTTTTTTCTTTCAATTTATGCAGGAAACATGGAGGCGTGTAAAGAATTTTTCAGAACGGCCTATAGTTTTATGTACCTGATTGGTACATATTTGAAGCCACATGTGAGTACAGTATTTGGAGGCTGTTATCTTATTCTTGCTCTCTTTGTTTGACATATGTGTAATTTGCTCATGTGTGTTTGTTATGAATAGTAAGTCATACACATGATACATTTGTTGTCCAAGTTCTGATTTGAAACCTTTGAAACCATTGAAACAATGTGTTTGTAAACAGTTGAATATGATCTTATTTCCATGAAATATATCAGACCTTCTATATTTTCTCATCGTGTTATTACATTATCATAATTTTATTCAAAATTTGGCTTTTAACTATGACTTAATTTGGGTGTCTTGTTTAAGAAGTATAAACTAACAACTTGATACATTGATCCTAATTCAAATTTTATGTGAATTTAGTACATCTTGATATTATATTTTAGTGGCATATAACTACATGGATGGAGTAATAGTATCATATTTTGTAATTATACATCTTTTCAGCAAAAGTGGTTAAATTATGTGATACAAGTGATTATGTTACATTACATGTTTATTTAATATTACCTTGTACTATGTAGCTTAAAATTCTGACATGAAAGCTAAGTTATCAACCAAGTTATTTGATACATTTCCCTCACATGTGCATTTTATAAAATAGAGTATTGCTGAGAAGATATCCATTCATCACATGGCTGCAAGTATGGTGGTTAAAAGTCAATTTTCATGTTTACTAGTTTACCATTTAAACAGAAATTATGCGTAACGAGCTTCATGCAGGTGGCACTTCTAAATGGCATTACCATGGGTGGTGGGGCTGGAATTTCAATCCCTGGTACATTCCGTGTTGCAACAGACAAAACTGTATGTAATCTAACCATGCATTGATGTCATTTTTGACAATTTTGATGGTGTATTATTATATATTTTATTCTTGTACTTACGGTTGATGGATTTGTTTTATGTACGATAGGACTTGTGAGTTTGTAATCTGGAAATTAGGTTGATAATTAGAAGTTTTTGGATCTTAGGATTTCTACTAGTTGAATTGGGATTCCTTTTTCTCTTTTAGATTGAGAATTTTTCAACTTGGGTTACTTGTCCTAATCTATTATATTTGGATCCTTAAATAGTTATCGGCTATGAAATTTAGTCTTTGAGCATAATTTGAAATGAAATATTTTCAGAAAATTTCCGTTGATGTTCTTTTCTACTCAGGATTACAATTGTGATCATATCATATTCTTAGCCAAGGAGGTGGAGCCCCTGTCACACAAATCCTGCTATCCCACCCACATATCTATCCAATCTATTCTCATAATTTCCCTGTCTATCTGACGTCTAAATATTTGAGTTTAAATTATGTCGAGCAGCTATGCAAAAGAATAAAAGGTTGTTGCAGTTGTTAATAAGTTCTTTTGGCTGGATGTAAGAGCTTAATGCTTTATGCTTCTATTATACTTTCAAATCATTCAGGAAGACTTAAGTAAATTGAAGAACATACAGTATATGCAGAAACTTTACTGATGACTGCAAAAACAATGAATATTATACACGTTCACCGCCAAAAACTTTTGCAATGCAGTCTTTAATTCTGCAATGTTGATGAAGCCTCTAACTGGTGGACTGTGACATCCTACAACTTTCCGATAGCATCTTTAGACCCCATCTTGCTAGGAACTATATGGTATTTGAACCATTGTGGATATGGAGTCGAGAAACATAGCCAACTAAGTGCTATATATTGTCTAGAAAGATGAAGGTCCAAAAATGTTATTGGCTACTCATTGGCTGGGTTGCAAACCAGTATTTAACGTGAAAATCTGTGCACAGTCCATCTCTTTTCTACAACTAAATTAGTTTGTGTTCAACATTTGAAGTATGGGTGTTGTTGAATATAGGGAAAAACTGTATAGGGTTAATTTCCCTTGTGTATTTACCACACATAGGGCAGTGTATTTATAATAAAGAAAGGTACTCCTCAAAAGAGTAACAGAATACAAATAGGGTAAATAAAAGATATTATTTGATATTGTGATTAACAATATCTAACAATATCTCAACAATATCAAATAATATCAACTAATATCTAATCATATCTAACACTCCCCCTCAAGCTGGAGCATACAAATCGTATGTGCCTAGCTTGGTACAAAGATAATCCATCCTAGGTCCCCGTAAAGACTTAGTGAAAATATCTGCTAATTGATCACATGAGTTAACGAACTCAGTCTTGATGTCTCCAGACATAATCTTTTCTCGAATAAAATGGCAGTCAATCTCAATGTGTTTAGTCCTCTCATGAAAGACAGGATTAGAGCTTATATGGAGAGCAGCCTGATTGTCACACACTAGTGTCATTTGAGTGACATCTCCAAATTGTAGCTCTTTAAGCAATTGCTTGAGCCAAATAAGTTCACAGGTAGCTGAGGCCATAGCTCTATACTCTGCTTCTGCACTGGATCTTGCCACAACACTTTGTTTCTTACTTTTCCATGAGATCAAGTTACCACCAATGGAAACACAATACCCAGATGTAGATCTTCTATCAGAGGGAGATCCTGCCCAATCAGCATCCGAATAGCAGACAACTCTTGTATGATTATGGGAGTCATACACCAAACCTTTTCCAGGAGACTTTTTGATGTACTTCAATATACGGATGACTGCATTCCAATGATCTTGACAAGGAGAATTGAGGAATTGACTCACCACACTGACTCGCAAAGGAAATGTCGGGCGAGTAACTCGTAAGATAATTTAATTTTCCAACTAATCTTCTATACTGTTCAGGATCTGACATTGGCTCCCCCTGATTTGGCAAGAGTTTGGTATTAGGATCCATGGGTGTGTCAACAGGCTTTGAATTCATCAACCCAGTTTCCTCCAAAATATCCAATGCATACTTTCTTTGAGATATAACAATGCCATCGGTAGATTGTGCTACCTCAATACCCAAGAAATATCTGAGTTTGCCAAGATCTTTGGTTTGAAAATGGTGGCAAAGGTGTTGTTTCATCTGAGAGATGCCATGATGGTCACTACCTGTAAGAACAATGTCATCGACATACACTATCAAATAGATACATCCAGCATTCGAGTGACGGTAAAAGACTGAGTGGTCTGCCTCACTTCTAGTCATGCCAAATTGTTGAACAACGCTGCTAAATTTGCCAAACCAGGCCCTAGGAGACTGTTTTAGGCCATATAAAGATTTGCGAAGACGACATACCAATCCAGAAGACTCCCCCTGAGCAACAAATCCGGGAGGTTGCTCCATATAAATCTCTTCTTGCAAATCGCCATTCAATCCGATGACCGCGAAACTTCCACGGTGGAGGTCACACGGAGGAGGCGAGCAAAACCCTGTGCTCGGCGGTCCGAACTGCTACTCCGGCGGCGGCGGCGGCGGCGGCGATGGAGGCGGCGACAGCTGCAGGTTCAGTGGCAGAGCCGAAAAAAATCCCAAGAGACCTTAAGCTCTTGATACCATGTTGAATATAGGGAAAAACTGTATAGGGTTAATTTCCCTTGTGTATTTACCACACATAGGGCAGTGTATTTATAATAAAGAAAGGTACTCCTCAAAAGAGTAACAGAATACAAATAGGGTAAATAAAAGATATTATTTGATATTGTGATTAACAATATCTAACAATATCTCAACAATATCAAATAATATCAACTAATATCTAATCATATCTAACAGGTGTCTTGGAAAGTATGTTAACAATTAATAAAGCAACTTGGGTGGACCATTTTTATACCATTTGGTTCAGTTTTGATAAAGTTATTTGGAGCCTGGATGGTAACTATTTTCACCACTTGAGACCAGGCTAATAGTAATCTGTAAAACTCCTAAATCTGGAAAATATAGAATGATTGCCTTTGTATGATAAATATTGATATCTGAAGTGCATCTAATGATTGTCATTGTACAGTGGACATCAAAATATTTGCTGGTTTTGCTTGTAGAATGACCATCACTTAAGATTGTGTAAGCTTAGCGTTTTGCTTCAATGAGTAGGTATTGATCTACTTTGTAATAGATGGTTTCTCTTCTCTGCACTGGGTTTAAATAGTGACATTACTGAGGTTTTATATCATAGCATATCATATCTTAAATGGGAGGTGAATCGTGTGACACCTTGAGTACTAAGTATGGCCAAATTCATGAGTATATTTAATGTGAAGGATATAAAATTTAGAGTAGTGTTTCTTTGCTAGAATACATGCATATGCATTTCATATCTTTCAGAAAGTAAACATCCATAAAATGTATGGACAAAAGAACACAAACATGTAATTACTAATTTCCACCAATTCACAAACAAAAATTCTTAAAAGCACCGGACATGTCTACCCTTGAACATTTTTTTCACAATGCTTGGAGCAAATAGGTTTTTGTATTTATTCGCAAAATTCCCAATGAAACATCACTATTTCCGAAAAATACTACACGTTCATATTCTTAGTTTCCAGAAATCACAGCTACTCTTAGAAAGTGAATTTAGGCCTAATTCAACTTAGCATGGAACTAGATACAAACCTAGTTCAACTTTCCCTCATGTTGATGACCACATCTTGAGCATGGAACTAGATACAAACCTCGCTAAAATAGGTTTTGATACTATCTTAGAAACTGGGTTTAGACTAGTAAGATGAGGATTGCATCTACTTGTATTCTATCATTTAGTCATATTTCTACTTGATGTGGGATCTCCAACAGCTACATCATCATAGCCAAGAGTTGGAGTTTAGACATTGAGTTTCCTCTGTTTTTTGTCCTAAGCTAGATATAATTAGTATGGATTAGGCTATACTTAGTGTCCAAGCTGTCACCTGAATAAATAGTAAATTTGAGTTTGGGACAATATATAGGTAACAAGTTGTATGGCTGTCTATGTAAATTCTATGCCCTCCCACTTAATCATGTGGTTATTTGTGCTATTGGTACGATGAAGAACATCTTTTTCTTCTATTTTGAAGACATTTGTTCTTAGACTCTCGTGGAATGTCGGTTAATCTCTAAGTTTACGTATTTTGCTACTAGTGCAGACATTTTTGCTATTTAGTTTGTACCCTGTATACATCACGCATGTGATAATTTTATTTTTCTAGAGGTTTGTCTTCATTGTGGCAGATATGTGCGTAGAAACGCTGGAAGGCATATGCTTAGTTTCATTATAACTTATCCCCATTTTGCAGATTTTTGCTACCCCTGAAGTTCATATTGGATTCCACCCTGATGCTGCAGCATCTTTTTACCTTTCACATTTACCTGGTCATTTAGGTATGGTATGCGTACATGCCTCACCTACTTTAAGTTACTCAAAACCCCTCTCTTAGAATGCAGATTCTAAATGATTTCATTTATCGTATATAATTCTGAAGATAATATAATGTTGTACTTGTGCACTGGTATTATGAACGAGGGGAAGGGATAGTAGAAAGTTTTGAAAATTAGATAAGCTCTTTTTGTTAGAATGTGGTTCTTTTGAAACAATGTGGTTCTCTTGGTCAAATTTAAGCTCCTCTTTTGTAAACACTTTTCTTTGTGTCAGTCTTGTTACAATTTGGCAGAATAAGAATTATAGAGAATTGAAAAATATGATTCCATTGATACAAAGATTTCTGCACTTTGTAACTGTTACTTCATCCCAGAGTTGATGATATTTGGCATTGTGTAGACTGAGGGGTAATTAGGTCCATTATGATGATCCATGTTTCGCCCTTAATTTTGTTTTGTGATATGATATGTTTTAGCCTCTCTCTGGTGGTTTCCCCAAGGCCTAAGGTTGTTTTTAGCCTTCTCCACTATGCAGAGGGATTGGACTTCCTTGCTAGATTCCTAATTTCCGTTATGCATTTATTTGTATTTTCTGCTTTTGTGGATACCTTGTTTTTGCCCCATTTTGTAATTATCTTTTCTCTAATAGTAATTCTTTTCCCTGCAAAGAATTTGGCTACAATCAAGAATGCCCATGGATAGGGCTTAAGGTTGGTCTTAGTTATGGTGGAATCTTGATTTTACGGCCAGGAATTGTAGTTATGCAATATCTTAGCCCATCCTTCAAAATTGAGTTTCTCCTATTTATATTGGAGTTTGGAATCCTAAACGATGTATAAAATGTAATATGAACATTAATTTTCTGAGATCTAATTTTTATATTTGCTTCTATTGATATAAAATGTTATAAACCAATGCTTTTGTGTAGCCTTATTCATTACTTCTAGTATATGAACATCACAAAATATTGATTCATGAGGTTGTTAAGGAGGTTAATCATCCTATTCTCCTCAAAAATGGTTGAGGGAAATTCATGGTTTCAGATTCTTCAGATCTAATCATCAACCTGAAAATTGATTGATGAACTTCCCCTATCTAGTCTTTCTTTGTTTCAAAAGTTGTTATTCTATGCAGGAGAGTACGTGGCTCTGACAGGGGAAAAGCTCAACGGAGTAGAGATGTTTACCTGCGGGCTTGCTACACAGTATTCATTAAATGCAGTTTCGTTCTTCTAAACTCTGCTTGCTTTTTTAATATAATTTAAATACTTTTCAGATTCTAACATTCAGATTTATTCTTGTCTTGTTCTATTCCTGTAGAGGCTTCCTCTAATTGAAGAACAGTTGAGGAAATTGGTTACAGATGACCCATCTGTCATTGAAGCCACATTAGAACAATATGGTGATCTTGTACATCCAGACAGCAGTAGCGTACTACAAAGGTTTGACCTATCTTACATCTGCCTCCTAAGTTTTATTTTTTAGTTAAAGAAGAAATAATTCAAAAAATAGAGAAACTGAGAGAGAAGGACAAGGACTGCTTTAATAGTTTGACGAAAATAAGTTATTGGAATGCTCAATTTGTTTTCCTTGTCTCTCTTATATTTTGATTCATAATATGTTCTAACGTTGTTTCTACTTTTCATTTTCTTAGGATTGAAATTCTAGATAAATGCTTTTGCCATGACACAGTTGAAGAGATTGTTGATGCTATGGTGCGATACACGCCTTTCTTTATATTTTAGAGCCTTCTTTTCAACACAATTCTTTATTATGAATTTCACTTTGTTCTTTTCATGGGTAAGTTGCAATTTATCCTAAATTTATCTTTTAAGAGAAAAGCACTCCTTGTTAAGAGTTCTTAGTGGTATAGGAAATCCTTATATATTATTGAGACAGTGGTTTCCTGCTCTTTGTTAGAGTCCAATTAGTAGGGGTTGAGGTTAGATTCAGGTAGAACATCCTTAAGGGCGCTCTTTTGTTTACAGGTTAGTTTGACTCAGCATTGGATAAATTATGTCATTCACACTTTTAGAAGAAGAAAATAAGGAGGAAAAAATGAAATAAGTTTCTGTATAATACATAAGTTGAAAACTTATATTTTAGAGAAGCTAAATGAGATAACTTCTACAAATAGCTTATGTGTAAACTAACTTTAGTTTATGGAGAAGTTTATTTCATTTTTTTCTTATTTTCTTCTTCTAAAATACTTGTATGGAGAAATTTATCCAAACAAACCTTACTTATATTTTTGCTAGTTGGGTAAAGTTAACATCCATGCCCCAAATTGAGAAGTGTCAAAGTCTGGAAAATATTAAGTATTAGTGGAATAACATGTCTGAGATGAATTGGTGTTTTAACATGCGTGATTTTTATTTTAAGTTGATAACCAGGGACTTCCCATGTGAACTGTTTAGTAGATGCCTGTAAGGATAAGTTCCCCCACAGTGTAAATTTCTTATGTTAGATAAATTAAGAATGGTAATAGCTAACTCAACATTGTTAAGAAAGATAGGCTCAGCCTAATGTAGCAACTTTTTCTAACACATTACTGATGTCATGTAAGAACCACACAAAAATTCTTTGCAACATCAAACTTGTTGGGGCAATTTTATTGCATGTCCTTTCTTACTTGTGTGTGTTGTGACTTTACTATTTGGTAAACATTTTTTCTTTTCTATATTCCTTATTATTCTTAAATTCCCCATAGAAAAATGCTGCAAGTGAAACAAAAGATGCATGGTGCATTTCTACCCTAAATAGACTGAAAGAGGCCTCTCCATTGAGCTTGAAGGTTGCCTTGAGATCTGTAAGTTTCTTTGGCATTTCTGAAGTTTAAACAGTGTCCGATTTCTTTGCTCTCCTTAAGAAATAACAGTTATAGTTTAATTCATCTACTTGAGAAAGAATATTAGAGAAAAGGTACTTGAGAGATCTTTCTTCAGATTCATATATATATATATATATATATAGATGTATATCTTGCAACAAAAATACAAAGAGAAAAAAAAAATCAAAATAAGTTCACGCCAAGGACTTTAGATGACTGGTAGAGCAAAAAGCAACTTTTACGAAGTTGCTCAGAAGATAATATAAATTATTTTAACATTTCCTCTCAAATTGAAACATATAGACTGGACAAACTAAGTTTGGAGCATATAAATTGAACCTGAAGTTCTCTCAAGGATTTCATCAAAATATCTATTAGTTAATTATTGGAGCTAACCAAATCAGTACAAATATTATTGGACAACAATTTCTCTGGAATAAAATAATAGATATTAAATGTGTTTGGTTCTCCCATGAAATATATGTTGGAAACAATGTAAAGTGCTGCTTGATAATTATACTATTCTAACACATCTAACTGGTGCAGATACGGGAAGGTAGATTTCAGACCCTTGATCAATGCTTGTTGCGTGAGTACCGTATGACTTTACAAGCAATACATAGGCAAATATCAGGAGATTTCTGTGAGGTATGACTATTTTTAATCTCTGCAAACAGAAACAAACTTATTCTATTTACACACAAGAGTTAATTTGAATTCATTATAGGGAGTGAGGGCACGCGTGGTGGACAAGGACTTTGCACCAAAGGTACTTACTCTTTGGAATATCTTAGTGAAAGGGTTAAACATAATTTGTTCTTTAAAACACTCTCATGTTAGTCCCTGAAAGTAATGAAAATGAAAGAAGTCTGTAATGTCAAATATGTTTCTTCTTAATGTCAATTTAGTCTTTGAACTTGCATTAATATTATTTACTCTTTCAGATTACTATCATATTACATATACATTTTTCTTTTCAGATTTGAAATTCATGTAATTAATGCAATTTCTTCATTGCCACAAAATGATGTTAATGGTTTAATTTTCCAGTTTTTGCTATAAATCTGTATTTGAAATTCCTATATTTTGAATTGTCAATGCAATATATGCAGTGGGATCCTCCAACCTTGGAAAAGGTGTCTCAAGATATGGTGGATCATTACTTCTTACCTCTCAGTGAGTCGGAACCTGATCTGGAGCTGCCCACAAAAACTCGTGAAGCATTTCTATAGTTTGTTTTCCTTGGACATTTATATATACATCATTGGTATTTTTACAAGGCTATGTTCAAGCTTGCACTTATTCACAATGTCATGGTAGCTTCCAGTGGTTTACAACAATAATATGTAGTTTGTTCCAACTCTGGATTGTGAAACAGCTTTTAGTCTTTTACAACGAAAGGATTCAAGAAATTCAAATTGGATTGATTCAAGTTACATCATCCAAATTCTGAAGTAAAATTTTCAATCTAAGTTTAATTAATTGGTAGAAGCATTTGTTCAACTCTCCCGAGTTGAAGTAACAAGGTTTAATTATAATTTTGGTCTTCATATTTAACATTTGGTTTCTTAATTTCTTTTTCAGAATATTACTTCCTAAATTTTTAATTTTATATACTTTTTACGTGACTTTGATCCATTAATTTTGATTAAGTATGGTTTTGTTTAATTTTCAATTCAATTATATCTAGTATTTTATTATTTTGGATAACACTGAGATTGGAAAAAAAAAAAACTAGGAGAAAACACATAATACTTGTATAATAGTAGTTGTATAAACTTGTTACTAAATGTTAATTGACAAACGATTTAATATTTTTAAAGCTAAAATTGTAGAAAAATTTAGGAATGAAATGAGAGGATACTAATAACCTGATTATTTTTTTCCTTATTAAAATTGATTTATTCAATTTTAAATAAAAATATTATAATTTGTGTATTGTATTATTTGAACGATGTAAATATATAATTTTATTTAATAATTATACTTGAATAATTTAATAGTGATATTTATGAATCCGTTAACCCTTAGAAAATATTTACATATATATAATTTAGAAATATAATAAATTTGATTGATTAACTACTCAACCTGCAAATTAGTGACCCACTTACGAGATGAATAAGGACTCCCAACCTGTATTAATTATGTTGGATCAATATGATTTTTTTCAATTTTTATAAGTTAAGGAAAAAACAATATTTAGAAAAACAATGTTTTATAATATAATAAACTAATAATAATAATAATAATAATTTTTTTTTTGCAAAAGAAAAGAAAAATATGAAATCGTTATGATGATTGTCGTAACATCCACGCTTATACATATATAAAACACAGTAGAGAGAAAAAATATGATAAAATATTATTATTTAAAGTTTAATAATTAAAAAGAATTGAAAAATATTATATATTTATATGAACAAATTTATATTTAAATTTTTTTAATTCTTATTCTTTTTATAAAAATTAGTTCAATGTAAAAATTCAGTCATTTTTTTATATTTTGTATCAACTTTTTTATTTTATATTATTTTAATTAAAATCAAATTATCTAAAAAGGAACTTATCGATTTTAAAATTAATTTTTGATTAAATCAGTTTAACTTACTATTCCGGTCTAGTTTTCAAAAAGAACTAGAAAAAAATTAAATAAACAGGTATCACATTTTATCATTCTTAATTTTTGGTGAACCTAAATTTATATTACACCTCTTTATTTTTTTATTGTTCAACATTTTTTTAATTTATTCTTAAAAAATTATTTAATTAATAAATAATATTAATAATTATATAATTAGTAAATATTTTCAAAAAAATTCAATATTATTAGTCAAATTATAATTATGATTAGTAAATTTTAATAATTTAGAAATATTATTAATTAAATAAATATTTACTGAATGATGTTATAATTTTATTATAATATTAATAATTAAATTATAATTATTAAATACTGTAATAGTTAATAAATATTAATATTAGTCATTAATGAATATTAAAAAAATAATTTCATCATAAATTTTAGTATTGATAATGAAATTACAATTATGATTAGTGAATACCTTAATAATAATTAATATTAATATTGATAAATAAATTATAATTATAATTTGTAAATACTTTAATAATTATTAAATAATATTATTATTCATTAATAACTAATAGTAACATCAAAAGACATTGACTGTTAATTTTTCTTGTCTCACATTCAATAAACTATTGATTTTTTTTTCTGTTATTTTATTCTTAAATTAATTTAATTGTTATAGGTTTTTGTTAAATGATGCATTTTAAAATGAAATATATTTATGATATTTTGATATGTTTGAAAGAATATTAAATTATATATCTTAAATGACTAGGTCTAATCTTACCTTTATTTATAAATAGATTATAATTTTAATTTTAGTCAGATTTACGTCCAACAAAATTAATGGACTATTTTGATTCATTTAAAACAATAAAAAATAATAATTTTACATAAAAATATTAAAAAATAAAATATATATTTTAAAAAGTGATATTAACAAAAATATTTTTATTTTAGAAACAATGATTTAATATAAATTAGAATACATATGTTTTAACAAAATAATTATATTATTTTATTTTTAAATAATAATTATTTTATGAAATAAGCTTATCTAAAAATTTACATGCCATTCAACCTAATTTAGGTGACTATATTGTTTGATTTTTTTTTTTGGTCTTTTACAAATTTATAAAATTAACAAAAAATTGAAGCTTAATACTATACTTGTTTTTTTTCAAGGTCAACATTTCCATAAAGATTTTATTTAGTAACTATAATGGAGTTGGATATTCCGGATTTTTCATTAAATCATTGAAACCTAAGTTCATAGTTCAAGAAGTTCAATCATTTAATTAGGAATGATAAAATTGTTAAGGTTGATATATCTAACTCATTGGTCGGATGTAACCCGTTTCATTAACTTATTAGGTCAACTTGTGTCTTGTTTAAAAATCTCACTTTCATCTATTCATTACGGGAAATATTCTTCTTTCTCAAACATAAACTCCCCCTCTTCTTTTTCTTGTTCATTATTTCCTCTTTGTTCATCTAAACATTGGTAGTTCCTATTCAACTTATATTAAAGATGTGAAAATTATTTAAAGCGAGAACAAAATAAAGTTTTATCAAATTAAAAAAATATAATATAATTATTGTTTTAGGTGTTTAAAATTTTCAATATAAAAATATAAATTTTATAAGTTTTGATATTATTTGGATATACTTGTTATTATTTATTATTATATAAATTTTATTTTAATTTGATTGTTCTAAATTATAATTTCTTAATTCAATATGTCAATTTATATTATTAACTTATTCATGAACAAATGATTATTAAGACCATTTTATCAAAATTCAACTATACATCATTAGGATGCTCAACACTGCTTAGATACATCAAAGATTATTCTTTTCCTTTAATTCTGACATACAATTAAAGGCCTTCAATGACTTCGATTGGGCTTTCTATCCTAAAATTAGGCACTCTATTATTGGTTATTATATTCTTCTAAGAGTTCTTTAATTTCATGAAAATCTAAAAAATAAAGTATACACTCTTGCCAAAACGACAATTAGTTATCTTCTCCAAGATGTACATATTCAACCTTTTAACATTGATGTATAACCAAGTTGTTAGACACATAGCTAATAATCCTAATTTTCATTAAGCACCATGCATATTGATATCAATTATCATGTAGTTCAAGAGAAGATGCAAGATGATATTTTCCATCTTTTACCAATTTGATCAAATGAACAATTGACCGACGTTTTCATCAAACATCTTCATAGATCGTCTTTCAAACCTATTATACCCAAGCTCAAAATAATGAGCATCCATTATCCGGCTTCAGGGGAGGATATTTAAATTAGGGTTTTTCTGTTACAGTTTAAGAGGGTTTTCTATTACAGTTTTAGGGTAACTAATTTCAATTAGTTAATATGAAATAAAAAACCTATTTAAGATAGGGTTAGGTATTGTATCTTGAATCATCTCATAGTAATCAGATTTTTACGTACCTTTTCTCTTTGAAGCGTTCCTTTTTTTTTTCTTCCTTCCTGCATGGATGCATACTTGCTTGGTTTCCTTTGAATTGCAGTGCAGATTAGCCAAGATCTTGGAACATGAGCTCTGCACAAAGGGTTTTGCCCCATATTTAATATGTTGATTTTAAAAAATATTAAATTACGTGAGTAACATGTATAAGTATAATTGTATTAAAAAAAGGAAAAATAATATTTTCACAACCCAAATCCATACAACTCCTATAAATAACTCTTTTTTAATATTATAATAATAATAATTTTGCTTTATTTTTATTTTTATTCAATCATTTTATAGATTATTATATTAATAAAAATGAGTTGTTTGAAAAGTTGTATGGTTTTTTATTGTTAAAATATCACCGCTCTTTAAAAAAACTGTAATATTTACATAATCAAGTATGGTTTTTAGATGGGAAGAAATCGAATAATGAAGTAAAATGATAACAGTAATAGTATAAGAACTAGATATTTTGAAATTTAATCAAATAACTGAATTATTTAATAAAATGAGTGTGAATAAATGAAATCGTTGGTGTTTCATTAAACGTTGTTACATGTACTTATTATTCGCTCAATTTAATTAGATTATTTTATATAAAAAATAATAAGAACCACGTGATGAATGTGAAATATTTAATAACAAAATATTTTTCTGAAGTTATATAAAACAATCTTAGTTTCATTTTATATATATACATATGGTGATATAATAACGTGAAATAAAATATCTTCATGTTGTTTCACATGTTGGGTATATAAAGCCACGCGCATTTGAATCGTAACTACAATTTGGTCCTTATTACTTTGTGGTCGTGTTGATATTCCATTTCATTAATTAGCTTCTTAATTATTTGAAGAAGCAAAGACATGGAATGGTTAACCTACTTGCCAGTAATGGCTATGGTGTTGAATCAGTTCATTTATGCAGGAATTAGTCTCAGCACAAGGGTTGTTTTCTTAGGAGGAATGAGTCCAAGGGTGTTTCTGGTGTATCGCCACGCTCTTGCAACCATTGTCATTGCTCCCATAGCTTATTTCTCAGGGTGCATATCTCTGATTTATCATCTCTATTAATTTGTTCATCACTTAACTCTACCTTCAATTCCATCATATTTACAAAATTGTCACCGCATTTTATTTACGTCG